TTTTTTAAATTTATTTTTTTGGGTACTGGGGATTGGATTCAGGAGCACTCAGCCACTGAGCCACATCCCCAGCCCTATTTTGTATTTTATTTAGAGACAGGATCTCACTGAGTTGCTTAGCACCTTGCTTTTTGCTGAGGCTAGCTTTGAACTCATGATCCTCCTGCCTCAGCCTCCTGAGCCACTGGGATTATAGATGTGCACTACCAAACTCTGTGCTTGTTGGTTATTTATTTATTTATTTGGTACAGGGATTGAACCCAGGGATGCTTAATCACTGAGCCACATCCCCAGACCTTTTTAATTTTATTATTTGCTATTTTTAGATACACATGACGTAGAGTATATTTTGATATATTATACATACATGGATAATTAGGAGATCCTAATTCTAATTAGGATCCCATTCTTGTGGTTTTACATGATGAAGAGTTTCACTGGTCGTGTACTCATACATGCACATTAGGAAGTTCTGTTGAATTCATTCTACTGTCTTTCCTGTTTCCACCCACTTTCCCTTCCCTTCCTTCACCTTTATCTATTCCAGTGAACTTATATTTTATACTCCCCTCCCCCATTATGTGTCAGCATCCATATGTCCCTTTTTATTTTTTATTTTGAGACAGGGTCTTGCTAAGTTGCTGAGGCTGGCCTCAAATTTGTGATCCTCCTGTTTGAGCCTCCCAATTAGCTGCGAGTACAGGTGGGCACCACTGTGCCCAATGTTGTTTGATTTTTAAAAACCATTAACTAGCTTCAAAACTATAATTGAAAGCAACTGCAGTGGCTAATTAGATAAGCACATATTATCTTGGAAAATGAGAAATTATGGTCCAATCAAGCAACAATCATTAATGGCCACTGAAGCTATAAGTGGTGTGTTCACAGAGAGCTCTAAATAGATCATCTTACAGCAACAGAACCCACTGAATAAGTTTAATATCACTAAACATGGGGCACCCACATATCATATTCCTTCAAATGTGTTGTAATAAGAAGCACATGTCACTGTTTATGAATATTCTTGTTAAACCTACACCTAATCAAGCTTCCATATCTAACTACTAGTTTATAAAAAATATGGAGGTTAGAGGAACAAGAAAAACAACATTGTGTAGATACAATCAGCCAAATCCAGAATGTGAGAAATTTACAGACCAAATGATCTAGTCTTCAACCAAAGTTGGCATTTAAAAGAGAAAGAGAACTGTGTGTGGGGGTGCACACCTGTAATCCCTGTGACTGGGACAATTGAGGGAGAAGGATCACAAGTCTGAGGTCAGCCTTAGCAATTTAGCATAGTCCTTAGTAATTTATTAAGACTCTCTCAAAATAAACAAGAGCTGGGGATGTTGCTTAATGGTTAAACACCCTGAAACCTAAATAAATAAATAAATAAATAAATAAATAAATAAATAATAAAAATAAGAGAGAACTGTTATAACCAAAATAGTCTGAAGAGATATACTAGCCATATACAATTTGTAGATTTTATTTAGATCCTGGTTGAAAAAAAAAACACTATAAAGGACATGTTTGAGATAATGGAACATGAATATTAGATGATAATAATAAATTACTATTATTTTTGGCTATAATAATGGTATTATAATGTTTTTTTAAAATTGTTACCTGTTAGAAAAATATATTTAAAGTAGTCAGATATACTCTAAAATACTCCAGCAAACAAGAAAAACAAGCTAGGAGCTAGGTATGGTGGTACATGACTGTAGTTCCAGCTACTCAGGAGGCTGAGAGAGGAGGATCAGTTTGCTGAGACCATGAGTTCAAGACCAGCCTGGGCAATACAGCAAGATCCCATCTTGAAAAGAAAACAAAATGTTTTTAGTTGTAGATGGCCACAATACATTTATTTATTTATTTATTTATTTATTTATTTATTTATTTATTATTATGCAGTGCTGAGGATCAAACCTAGGGCCTCACATGTATTAGGTAAGTGCTCTACCACTGAGCTACACTAGCCCCTCCAGCCCTTTTTAATATTTTATTTAGAGACAGGATCTCGCTGAGTTTGTTTAGGGCCTCACTAAGATACTCCTGCCTCAGCCTCTCAAGCTTCTAGGATTATAGGCATGTGACACCATTCCCAGCTAAGACCCTTCTTAAAATAAAAAGAAAACAAAAAGGGTTGGGGATGTAACGCAGTGGCAGAGTGATTGCCTAGCATGTGTGAAGCCTTGGATTTGGTTCGCAGCACTGGGGAAAGAAACAACAACAACAACAATAAAAAGTCAATGTGGGGCTGGGGTTGTAGCTCAGTGGTACAGCGCTTGCCTCAAAAATGTGAGGCCAGCCTTGAATTATCGATCCTTCGGCCTCGGGCTCTGAAGTAGCTGGGATTATAAGTGTGTACCATTACAGCTGGCTATAGTTTGTATTCTTTTTTTTTTTTTTTTAGTGGTGCTGGGGATTGAACCCAGGGCCTTGTGCATGTGAGGCAAGTACTCTACCAAATGAGCTATAACCCCAGCCTATATTTTGTATTCTTATCAAGTTGCAAATGTTCTTTATTTATTCTGGATACAAATCTTTTGCTGATATATGACTTGCAAATATTTTATCCTATTCTATGGCTTTTCTTTGATCTATGAATTAAAAGTTTTACATTTCTATTAAGTATTAATTTTTTCTTTTGTAGATCATGATTTGGTGTCAATAGCTAAGCAATTTGCTTAAATCAATACAAAAACATTTTTTTCTCATGTTTTCTTCTGGAATTTTTTTCTCCCTATACTGGTGATCAAACCAAGGGCCTCGTGCATGCTAGGTAAGCCCTCTACCACATTATTGTGAAGAAAGCAAAATAACCAGGATGAACTTGGTGTAGATGGTAGATGCCAGATTATATACCCTATGGGGTGTTATATCTGATTTTGCGTGGTCACAGTGTTTTGATGAATTTTTAATAGGGTACTGAAAATACATTTTTCTATGTTTTCTATTATTTATATGTTCTGTTTCTCTAATAAGAAGAAAAAAATGATTTTTTTCTCAAAAAGTAAAAATAATGCACTTACTTCCATAAAAAGGAAAAGTATAAGAATACAGAAAGGCCTGAGCTGGGTGCAGTGGTGCATGCTTGTAATCCCAAAGGCTCCAGAGGCTGAGACAGGAGGATTGTGAGTTCAAAGCCAGTCTCAGCAAAAAGCAAGGTGCCATGCAACTCAGTGAAACCCTGTCTTTAAATAAAATAAGAAAAAGGGTTGAAAATGTGGCTCACTGGTGGTGTGCCTCTGAGCTCAATCCTTGGTTCCCCAAAATAAGTAAGTAAATAAATAAATACAGAAAGGCTTGACTTTAATTTACTGAGACCAATTAAATGTACTTCCAGGAAAACTGCACAATGCTAGGAACTGGGACCACAAAAGTAAGATAAGGACAATACACTCAAAGAAATTTTAATATTTATTTTTTTTTAGTTTTCGGCGGACACAACATCTTTGTTTGTATGTGGTGCTGAGGATCCAACGGGGCCGCATGCATGCTAGGCGAGCGCTACCGCTTGAGCCACTCCCCAGCCCCCACTCAAAGAAATTTTGAACCAATGCACAGAATAGCAGGTAGAGGTACCTCAAGGACTATGGAAGCAAGTGAAAGGGGAAAATGTTCCCAAGACTTAATACCCATCCTAAACTCTCAAACTTTCAACTACAATTATGGCAAGTTAACTTTTAGAATCTATGTGTTGGGATCTATGTATGATCCAATTTGAATAAAGTACTTTATGCCTTTAGAAAGGTTTGAAAACCACTGGTCTAATAAAAGTGAAAAGTGAGAGGCTGCTACTACTGTAGAAAGAATACTGGATTGGAAGTTCATAATACAAGTTTTATTCTAATTGTCCTACATGTATAGCCATGTGGAAGGCAGAATTCTAGTTCTCAAAAATGACACTTTTTTATGTGAATGTTAATGTTATTCGTTCAATAAATATTTGTTGAGTGTAATAAATACAATAATAATAAAGTAATAACAAGGAAGGGGAGAGAAGAACATGTGGAGGTTATCAGCAAAGCCATCAGAGAGATGTAACAAGTTGGGTCTTGGAGCCTAAGAAGTTTGTATCCATTGATTAAAAGGACAAACCAGGAGCATTACAGATAGGTTCAAAATAATAATAATAATAATAATAATAATAATATCACTGAATAAATGCTTGCTTTTGTGCACAAAATTTTATTCTCATAATCACCCCCTGGAGGTAGAGGTTATCATCCTTTTGAAGAGACCTTGGGTTTACCCACAACACAAAACTCTTGACTGGCAGGGCCACACCTGAAATTGGGGTTGTCTGATGTCAAAGTGGAGGCTCTGGGTTCAAATAGGTACATATACTTAAGATATGTGAGCAACGTGGGGCTATTTGAAGAGGGAAGTGGGGAGCAAAGAGGCTGAAAACTTAGGCAACCACTCTAGCTCAGTTGACCTCAGGGAGTTTGGGCAAAGAAGAGCTGGTATGGAACGGCGGTATTGAATCAAGGCGTGATTTCAAGTAAGTGTGAGTGTGTATCCATCCCAGCTCTGTGGACTGAAAAGGCCTAGAAGCAATGACACACCAAGGCACATTCGATGGTTGGGGTAGGCAAGGACCAAGGACCTCCAGGTTCGCTCCCCGCTCTCCTGCTGGCTTCTCCGCCACATTTCACTGCCACCTCGCGGCAGACCCCGTGTTCTTCACCTGCCTGCCTCTTCTGCAGTCCGTGAAACCGCGCCCTTAACTCCTGCGACATCCTAAGGAGAGTTCCGCAGCACCCCCGACGCCGGCCGCCATTAGCGTCAAGCAGATAGCAGGGAACTAGAGAAGAGGTGAAGAACACCGGGGCGCGGCCACCTGACAGCCGACCTGGAGGAGCCGTTTCTTATTGGATTTCACTGCTGCCAGTCGCGACCTCCTATGTTGTGCCCCGCCCCTTCCGCGCAGTCTGTTCTCTAAGTGGCGGGCGGGGCCGGGCGGCAACTTCCGGTTGGGGGAAGAAAGTTAGGCCGAAGGCGGGGCCACGGAGAGGGAGAAGGAAGAGGCAAGGGCCGGGCGGCGACGGCTGTAGGTTGTGAGACGGCGGCGGCTGCGGCGGCGGCTCTCCCTGGGGTGGACGATGGATAGCCAGGGCAGGAAGGTGGTGGTGTGCGACAACGGAACCGGGGTAAGTGCCGGGCGAGGAGTCCGCGGTGGCCAGAGGCCCGGACAGGGATGTACGGGGCTCCTTGGTGCCTGGGGCTGCACGTCTGGGCCTCTGGGGTGAAGGGGCGCGAGTGGCGAATGGCGCCTCCCGCCTCCGTGGGCGTGGGAGCAAGCGGGACCCGCTCCGGACCCGCCACCCCCGTAATTTCCCAGGTCTGAGCGGTAGCGAGACCGGCACTGGACGCTGACCCCCACCTGCTGTCCCGAGGGGGCCGGCTCGATTCTCTAGCCGGAGCAGTTTGGCCAAAATATCCTAAGGTTTGGGTAAAAGACTTGAGTTTGTGCAATCGAGAAGGGTTCCATTTCTCAGACTCGCCGGTGGGTAAAAAGGAGAAAGACCTAGAGGCCTTCCTCTTCCTGTATGGTTGTAGATACCGAATGGGAGGCAGGAAACAGAAAAAAAAAAAGGAAGTGCTGTCATGCAATTGGCCTCAGCCCTTTCGTAGTGCTTCTTGAGGGTTTGTTCTTTGCTTTTTCTTCCTTCTACCTGTCTTGAAAGAAAGGGAGACCAGATTGGCAGTGTATCTATTGCTTTTTATTCTTCATGTGATAGTTTGGTCCTAGCGCACCCTCGCAGAGACCAGCGTGCATGTTCCATGGGATGATTTGAGAGGTCTGAGTGTTAATTCCACTGACTTGGGGAAGTTAATCAGTTTTAGTTCCTCCTTCTCTCTCCCTTTTAAGTACAGAATACAGATGTTCAGTCTTGAAGATTCTAATTGTAAAAATCCGAGGAAAGCATTAGTTTAGAAACTCTTTGAAAGTGATTTCTTTTCCACCCCCCCCCCCGCCCTTTAATTATTTTGGATGTGTTCTATAGTAATTTCTATTTTAGTGTTGCAAATTTTGTGATTTCCCCCCTTCCCACATATATAATGTGACATATAATGAATTAAAGTGGGTTTAATTTGAACTTTAAAACACTTTGGAAATTATATTTTCTTTTAGATTTTTAAAACAAATTGTATTTGGTTTAAGTGCTATCACTTTTTATTATTCTCAATTTCATTTATGGAGATTGGATTGTTGGGACTGGGTTGTGGCTCAGCGGTGGAGCGCTCATCTCGAACGTGAGAGACCTGGGTTCGATCCTCAGCACCACATAAAAATAAATATGTGAAATAAAGGTATTGTGTCCAACTACAACTAACAAATAAAAATTAAAAAAAAAGAAATTGGATTGTTGGTGGGGGGGGGCGGAGAGCTGGCATTTACTGCCATAATCTTGCTCTTGATTGGATTTGTTTTTTGGTTTGTTTTTGGAACTGGGGATCGAACCCAGGGTTTTGTGTACATCCCAGCCCCCACTGGATTTGTTATAGACTTCTACAAATAAAAATTATACTAGGTTCTTCTGAACTGTTAAAAATGGACAAGAGGGCTGGGGTTGTGGCTCAGTGGTAGTGTTCGCATGCATGAGGCACTGGGTTCCATCCTCAGCACCACATAAAAATAAAATAAAGATATTGTGTCCACCTAAAACTAAAAAATACTAAAAAAGAAAAAATGAGCCAGGGTAAGGAGAATGTTATAATGCAACAGGACATTTATACAAAATAATTTTTTAAAAGGAGGCAGATCCACTTGTAGGGAAATGTCTAAAATTAATTAAGGTAAAAAGTTTTAGAATGAACCCATTTATGTGTGTTCTTTATTAAATATATTTGTATGCCCACAAATTTGTGTCTGTATATGAAAGTTTTGGAGGGATACTTGAAATTCTATAAGTTACCTTTGGGACAAGGAATAAAGGAGTAAGGTGAGAGGAGAGAGYTTCATGAATTCTCTGAATAATTGGAAAAAAAGTTCTTTTTTTTTAATGTTTATTTTTAGTTTCAGGTGAACACAGTATCTTTATTTTATTTTTATGTGGTGCCTAGGATCGAACCTAGTGCCTTCTGCATGCCAGGCGAGTGCGCTACCACTTGAGCCACATCCCGAGCCCCAGTGTTGTTTTTTTTTTTTTTTTTAACAAAGCATGTTATTATATTTAAACTAATTTAATTACAAACATATATTACCTTAACAGTTAAAACTGCATTTTAAAAGACTTACAGTAAAGGTGCATTTTAAAAAAAAATGAAGTTTTTTTTTTCCTTTGGTACCAGGGATTGAACCGAGGGGTGTTTAACCACTGAGCCACATCTCTACCGTGTTTTTTATATTTTATTTTGAAACAGGGGCTCGATGAGTTGCTTAGGGACTCACTAAATTATTGAGGCTGGCTTTGAACTTGTGATCTTCCTGTTTCAGCCTCCCAGACCACTGGGATTACAAGCAAACATGAGCTCATGGTTGGGGATGTGGCTCAGTGGTAGAGCACTTGCCTAACACGGTAGAGATTAAGGTTCAATCTCTAGCACCACAAAACAAACAAAACCACACACACACACACAAAACCATGAGCTTAATAACCACCATAGTATCAAATTGACCTCTATATAAATTTAATACTTTTCAAGTGAATTTACAGTACTTTGTGACTCTGTCAGGCACTCTCTTTTTAATGGATTCTTTTTCTTTGAGGGATATAGCTGAGGTACCCTGTTTTTGTAGTATGGGTACATATATGTGGGATTTTTGCTTGTGGTGCTGGGGATTAAACTCAGGGGGCTTTACACATGCCAGCTAATTTCTGTACCATTGAGCTATACCCTAAGCTTCTGTATGAGGAGGTTTACTTCTTTATTTTTTACAGTACTGGGGATTAAACCCAGGATCTCACGTGTGGTGGGCAAGTGCTGTAACTCTGGAGCTTCATCTCAGCCCTTTTTATTTTAGTTTTGAGATGGTCTCATTAGGCTGCCTAGGCTGGTCTGGAATTTGGGATTTTCCTGCCTCAGCCTCCCAAGCCTCTGAGATTACAGGTGTGTGCCACCTTGCCCAGCTACCAGTGGGTTTTTTGGGGGGAGGGAGGGGTACTCAGGGGCACTTGACCACTGAGCCACATCCCAGCCCTGTTTTGTATTTTATTTAGAGACAAGATCTCACCAAGTTGCTTAGTGCCTCACTAAATTGTTGAGGCTGGCTTTGAACTCCCGATCCTCTTGTCTCTGCCTCCTGAGCTGCTGGGAGGAGCTGCCACCAGTGGAGTTTTTGATGTTCATTTAGAATAGGAGTGCTTGCTGCTGGCTGTGGTAGGCACACCTGTAATCCAAATACTCAGGAGGCTGTGAGGCAGGAGGATTACCTGAACCTTGGAGTTTGAAGCTATCTTGGGCAGTTTAGTGAGACCATCTCAAATGAAAAAATAAAAAGGCTAGGGATGTAGCTCAGTGGTAGAGCAAGCTTACCTTGCATGCTTGAGACCCTGGGTTTAATACCCAGTACCACACACACCAAAAAAAAAAAAAAAAAAAAAAAAAGTGTAAATATTAACTGCAAGCTAATTTTTATGCTACTGTTTCATTAATTTAGCTAACATTAGAAAGCTGATTGTATGCATTTGCTAGTCTTATGTATAATCCATAATTTTAAAATCTTGCTCTTTAGGATAAAAGATCTCTTAGCATGATGTAAATGAAAAAGTATAATTAATTTAAACAAAGATTTAAATTTGATGTTGTAGTTACTTACAAATTTTATCCATGTTTTCTATAAACATGATTGGCTGAAAATGAAGAAACAGCTGGGATATAATATGTACATAATATGCAAATCAGGAATGCTGTGATACTTAAGAAAATTTAAGAGGATTAGGAACCACTTAGAGTCTATATTCTGTTTCTAATTATACTTCTGGACATGAATGAACATCTTGTTTTGTTTGGATACCTGAAGTTATAATGATTATTTTACAGTTAAATAATTTATTCAGATGGAATTTTAAAAAACTTCATGGAAGTAGTTGTTACTCTAAAGTGTTTTCATTAGCCCTTATATGGTTTAGATTTTAAGGGCTGGAGATGTAGATCAGTGTGGAGCACTTGCCTACTATGTATGAGTCCCTGGGTTCAATCTCCTAGCACTGGAATGGGAGGTGGGGTTTAGGTTTTAAAATTTTAGGCTGTATGAGGTGGAATTTTGTGTTGAACCCAGGGCCTCAGGCATGCTAGAGTAGCACTCTACTACTGAAGTACATTTCTAGATGTCAAATTTTTAAAACTCCACTAACAGTCCCAGAATTGAATGATGTAAAAGTAGGTGCATTGTTTTGACCATATGCCAGATGTTGGTATAATAACTTAATGAGGCCCTGCTGCATTTCCTCATTATCCCCCAGCTAGACTAGTGTCTCATTAGGGTGGCCTAGGGGAAGGAAACTCATCTGATTTCAATAATTTATACACTTTACAAAAAAAAAAAAAAGAAAGAAAGAAAAATTGACTTTCAACCTTAATCATCCAAACCTGCTTTCTAAAATAGAGTCACTGCAAGTGGCCAGGGAGGCCAGAATTTGGAAATCTGTGAAGCACTAGGTTTTGGTCCCTTTATAGTTGGGCCTAGATCACTAGTATTGTGTATCCTGTTACCAAACTTCAGTGATTTCATCAKCAGTGAGTTCATTTATGAACAAAATGAAGACTTGTAAGTGCTGTTACTGGCACAGAGCTAAATAAGATCTAATGATCTAATGATACAGAGAAGCTTACAATGCTAGAATGATTATATTTTCATTTATAATTCAGATTCATAGTTGCTAGTGACCTGCTTTATCAGATTTATGCTAATTTATATGTAGAATTTAGGAGTGTTTGAAATAGAAACAGATCAGAAACTTTGCTTTCACCCTGCAAATGCTATGCAATAAATACAAAAAATATTTTGGTGGCCTAAGAAGTTTTTATATAATTAATACCCACAAACCATCAGATTAGTAAGGGAAAAATATAAAGACAATAAGCCCGAATCCCTCTCCCACCTTTTTTTTTTTTTTTTTTTTTTTTTTTTTTTTTTAAGGAAAAAGGTACTTTTAGAACAGATGTGGTTGGGATTATTCTTCATTTTTGCCTGAGGGAACATTTCCCTGCTCATGCTCTTACCATTTGATGACTCAGTGGGAAGTAAGAGAGCCAGTTTAAACCACACACTATGAAGAGGAAACTATATATGGTAAAATCTATTTCTTAAACACAACCTTTTGCACACAATGAGAGAACTAAGTCACCAAGTCATTTTTGATTTACATGGGAGAGGAATTTCAAAGCTTAAAATGAAACCAAATGAATAGTCTATAAAAAATAATTTCTTTGCATTTTATCATGTCATGGTTTAGATTTTTTAAATGTCATTTTTTTTGTAAGAAAGGAATAGGCAGATTGTTGGTTATCGACAAATGGATTATTAAATTATTTCCTTATGAATTATTAATGCATTCACATTTGAAGTAATGTGAAGTAGTACAGTTTCTACTTATTTTGATGGAGTATCCAAATACTCTTTGGGAATGCTAGCACTGAATTCTAAGATAGCATCTGCTTTCAGTAAGCTATTACTTATATAGTTTTATTAGTAAGTGATTGATATCTTTAATTTGAAAAGCCAAATTTTCTTTTTCCTTCTTTTTTAAAAAAATTTTTGTAAAGCAGTTAAAATGAGTTTACATTTGTATCTGTAGTTTCAGATCTCAGTTTTTGTTTTAAGGTACTTGACAAATTTTTGTTATTGAAATAGACTCAAGAATTAAGATATGAGCTACCCATCCGAACAGTTATTATCAAAAAATCTTGATGTGTTTATTTGCCGCTGTGCCATGTTCTTGTTTCCACTGTGTGTATGTGGCTCGGAATGAGGGGTAGACATGTCAACCTTAAGAGTCTCTTTTGTACACCAGGGTTTACTTAAGCTCTGTTTTAGGCTCCTCCTCCCACCTTCGACTTCTGTTATGATTTCTCATTTAATAAAATCATATATTTATATTTAATATGCAGAAAACAGCTCTTATAAACTTATAGATTTTCTCTTCAGTCATTCATTATCTAATTTTCTTTGAGAACATTTATATCCATGTTAAGTGAGCATTTTTAGTCAGATTAATGGGTACTTTTGACCCACCCATTTGTTCATTACTTTGAGGTGAGATGTATGAATTTTGAGCAGTGTTTGTTTTTCGTAACTCCATGCCCCCCACCCCCCATTCACAGTATAGATCAGGCATAGGGCCTGGACTGAGATGTATATAGGATAGGTTTAATCTGCCTCTTTTTCTGTATAGTCAGTGTAAGGACACAGCCTTTGGTAAGTACCAGGAGGCCCACATTTTATTTATACTGAAATGTAGATTTGGATGGGGTAACTATAATACTTTTTCTACCTTCTCATATCATTTTTTGTTCAGGTGAACTCTTTTGATTTAAGGACAAAAGAGATTTTGTGATTTAAGAGAGATTTTGTGGGGCTTTTTTCCTTTTAATTCAAACATACTACTAAAAACTACTAGGTATTATTTTTTTTTTCCTGTGGTATTTGTTCCTTCAAATCTTTTGTAGTCACATTAATAAATTACTTAAGAAGATGTGGAAAAATGAATAAGTTCTCCTGAATTTTGCTTAACACTTCTTTGAAATGGAAAATATGTTCTTCATTATCAACCACTGTCAGATGTGGAGGTGGATATGAGCAGGCAGGTTACCTATTACATATGTCCTCATTTCACATTAACTTCTATCTTGAAAGGTGACCCATAAGAATTGTATAGTATAGCTGGGCCTGGTGGCGTACGCTTATAATCCCAGAGGCTCCGAAGGCTGAGATGGGAATTGCAAGTTCAATGCCAGCCTCAGTAAAACAAGCCAGTAAGCAGCTCAATGAGACACTGTCTCTAAATAAAACACAAAATAGGACTGGGGATGTGGCTCAGGGGTTTAGTGCCCCTGAGTTCAGTCCCCGGTACTCCCCTCCAAAAAAAATGTATACAGTATTATATTTTCAGAAATGGGTAGCTATATTTGAAATATGCATATATGTAGCTTAATGGTAAACTGACGAGGACTAGGTTTTGTGGATTTAGCAGAAGGCATATGAACAGTGTGTTTTATTTAAGTTCTAAAATTAAAGTACAAGGGCAGAAATTAAGGTGATATTGGGAATATGAAACTTCCTAATTTGAAACAGATTTTTTCATAAAATTTCAATCTGTTTGAATCATAATTTTAACATTTAAAAGACAAGTAAAATTGTGATGGCAGAATGTTCCAGGTTATTTATAGTTAAATATGGTTCATCAGCATCATTTTCAACAGGTTGCTGTAAAGATATTTGAAGATATTTTATATTTTGGAGGGTTAGTTAAAAGTCAGTGAGTTTAGGATATTGTTAAATTTTACCACATCAAACAAAACAATTCCTTGTACATAGTTGCTTCCTGTCCCTGATACATTAATATTTTATTTGCACCTTTTTTTTTTTTTAAAGAGAGAGGAGGGGGGGAAAGAGAGAGAGAGAGAATTTATTTATTTATTTTAGTTCTCGGCGGACACAACATCTTTGTTTGTATGTGGTGCTGAGGATCGAACCCGGGCCGCACGCATGCCAGGCAAGCGCGCCACCGCTTGAGCCACATCCCCAGCCCCTTATTTGCACCTTTGTATTATTCTGTGTGTATCATATCCAGGTACTTTCATCCTAATTGAGAAGTATATGGTGCTTGGTGCTATAGTACAATAGATTCTTTCTGAATATTAAATACATAGCCATCCCTGGGTATCCGCAGGTGATTAGTTTCAGGGAATAGACACACATTCTCCTTCTCCCTCTGCTCTGCCTCTCCCCTGCCCACTAAGGGCCCTTACATAAAATGGCATAATATTTGCATATGACCTCCAAATATCCTATATACTTTAAATCATCTCTAGATTACTTAGAATACCTAATACAATGTAAAGAATTTTATGGAATAATGACAAAAATGTGTTCATTTTCAGTACAGATATCATATATAGATACAGATTTTTTTTTGGTACCAAAGATTGAACCCAGGAGTGTGCTACATCTGAGTCACATCCCCAATCCTTTTTATTTTTATTTTGAGACAGGGTCTTGCTAAGTTGCTGAGTCTGGCTTTGAATTTGCGATTCTCCTATCTCAGCCTCCTGAGCTACTGGGATTATAGGCATGTGCTATCATGCCTGGTTATATTTCCTTTCTTAATATAGCTTCCTTCTCCCACCCTGAATTTTTTTCTTTTTCTCTTTTTTGTGGTACTGGAAATTGAAGCCAGGGCACTCTTAATAAAGAGCTATATTCCCAACCCTTTTTATTTTGAGAAAAGGTATCAATAAGTTGCCCAGGCTGGCTTTGAATCTGTAATCCTCCTGCCTCAGCTTCCCTGAGTATCTGATATCCAGGCATGTATTGTCACACCCTATGATTTTTAATTCTTTTTATTTTTTTTAATATTTATTTTTTAGGTGTAGATGGACGCAAATAAAGGCAACAAATGCCTTTATTTTTATGTGGTGCTGAGGATCGAAACCGGGTCCCGCCCGTACTAGGCGAGTGCTCTACCGCCGAGCCACAATCCCAGCCCTTAATTGTCTTTTTCTTAACAGTGCAGTGTCTGCTCTTAAGAAAAATTATGTTATTAATATTAAAAATCCTTGGTTCTAAGTTTTGCTGTCATTGTTGAACCTCTTAAAATACCAGTTTCTAAGATAGAAATATTAGAATTAGTGATGTGCCCTTGGAGAAGTACACTATCTGAATGTGAAATTATGTGGCTTTTTTTTAACATTTATTTTTTAGTTGTACATGAACACAGTACCTTTATTTTATTTTCATGTGGTGCTGAGGATCAAACCCAGTGCCTCATGCTAGGCAAGCGCTCTACCTCTGAGGCACAACCCAGCCAAATTATGTTGCTTTTGTGTTTGTGTGTGTGTGTGTGTGTGTGCGTGTGTGTGCGTGTATGTGTATGTGTGTGTGGTGCTGGGGATTAAACTCAGGTCCTTGCATATATTAGGTAGGCAAGTACTCTACCATTGAGCTACATCCCCAGCCCAAAATTATGTTATTGGATATTACTAAACATATTTACTTAAATATAAAAATGTAAGAAGCCAAAAATGATCACTGTGTGCAAAGGCTTCTTTAAACATGTTCCAGCATGAAATGTTCATCTTAGCTCCCTGCTCTTGTGGGCCTTTTCCTTTAGTGGGGCCTTTTAGATACTGAGTAAGCAATTAACTGGTAAATAAGCTCAAACGAAGGAAGTAGTGCCATGAAAGAAGTGAAAGGAGATGCTGCTGGAAATAGAGTAGTGGTTTGAAAGCACTGAAAGTGTAAAATATGTATGAACACAAAGTGGAGTTTTTCAGATATGTTTTTAGATGCATATAGTAAATACCTTGATCCTAACCCACTTTTACTCTTTCCTTCCAGTTTGTGAAGTGTGGATATGCAGGCTCTAACTTTCCAGAACACATCTTCCCAGCTTTGGTTGGAAGACCTATTATCAGATCAACCACCAAAGTGGGAAACATTGAAATCAAGGTAATATTTTTATTTATTGTTAAAGTAACATCAAGACCTGTGAGATGTTTTTTGAATTGTTTTAAAATATGATGCCAGGAAAAGCAAAGGGTGAGGGAAGAATTTCTCATTTTTAATTTATACTAATACCTGAACAAAGGCACAAAAACTGAAGTTAGTTTAATGTAATTTTGTTTATGTATGGCTCAATGCCATTAGTGTCTAGAGTATAATACTTAAGTTTTTTTTTTTTACATTGATGCAAAACACAATCAGTGACTTAAAGTCCTATTACATAATTTAATTTTTTTAAAACAACGAGCCTGATAATTTTATGTCTTTCAATTGAATATATTTTAGTGTCTCTTTGGGACTTTAGTCTTTTTTCCCCCATGTTTTCATGATCTGATCCCCCTACTTTTTTTATGTAGTCAGGAAAACACAGAATGTGAATCTCATTGTTTCCTCTTTTCACTAATAAAATAACTTTTTCCTTAATGTGCTGGAGGAACCTGTGCCAATCTTTTGGCCTTACACTGTTTCTCTTACCATAAGGGAAGGAAGCTGGGTTGTCATTGCCTACTCACTATACATAACCACTAGAGACTCCACATTAAGGATGAGAGGTCTTTCTCCCAAAGGATTAAAAACCAAATGGGAATTACATTATCTTAGAAGAAAGAAAGAACTAGAAGAGAATTAAAAAGGACAGTGGTCACCAATTGAATTTAAATCCTTCAGGTGGCTTAGGGATTAAATTATACAGAATGCAGTAGAATCGAAGGACTTTTTTAGTGAATCCTTTGTGAACACACTAATATTGCTGATCTTTTCAGGATAGTCCTTGGCAAGAATTCAGTGAACAGTTAGGTTATGAATCATTTGAAATATGAGGGTGTACCTCCTGGGACATTTGTGTAAAATATTTAGGGAGGTGATAATAGGTGGTAGAGATTTGCTACTTGGTAGGCCTCTACTGTTAGGATTAGAGAATTGAGTTACACTGTTCTATATTTTTTAAAGACAAAATGGTAATTTCTGGCCTCTTTTATGTTACACAAATTAAAATGGCACACTCAGTATAAGGCTTTTTGAAAAAGGGTCTTTTCTTCGGGGAAATATATGGAATTTCTCATTCTCTTTGTGAACGCCTTCCATTTTGGTTGCATTCTATCATAAATGAACTTCAGCTTGAAATTTAGCTAAAAATAGTAATAAAAACAAACTGCTGTTTGGAAATAAATTTTAATTTAGTATGTGTCTTTTTTTATATTTCTTATGATCAATAAAATTTTTGAGACATAAGATACATTGTGTATAGCCATTTTTATTCTTCAACATAGGCATAAATAATTACACATCTCTTCATGCCCACTTTCTTGCTTTTTAAGGCCAAGTGATAGAAATCAAACTCATTGATATTCCAATAAAACATTTTTGCCAGAAAATTCCCTAGTATTTGCTAAATGGTTCTGTGTTCTTTTGGCTTGGTTCTTTTCACTCTTACTTTCAAGTTGAATGGTATTTTCAAATAGAAAACAAAGAGACCGGTGTCAAATGTAATTTGAATACTACAGCTTGGACAAACAACTCTGAACCATCTACCTTTCTACCTACCTACTCAGCTATATCTTTGCTGTTGTCATTTGTATTCCTTAAAGTTCTTAAATTCAATAATGAATTAAAGAAACTTGACTTTTTGGAATTTCTGAGCTTTGTAGATAGACTTATATTTGTGTGTCTTGTTAGCTAAAATGTGATGGTAGACTAAAAAAATAGAAATTTAAATTATTTGTTTAGTTAATTTTCATTCAGGAGTAATAACTGTCCATGTTAATTTGGCCCTAATTATTAACTCCATAAAATATAGTAGTACTGCATCTGACCTCAACCTAATTTGTCTCTGTTGCTTGTATGTTTAAAAATTTCAGTGAGGATTTTATTTAGGCCTTTTCTGACTCTTACTTCTACCTTCTCTTTCTTCACCTTTCTTGACCTGTTGAAGTAGAATAACAAAAAGATGGTAAGTGAGGTTACACACATGCTGTTTGTTTTCCACTTTTGCTTGGTGGGACAGTAGTTGTTGTTTTGTGTCCCTTTAGTATTGGGGAGGGGGGTAATTCCATATTTTTATTTTAAGTACTTTAATTTTTAACCTTTTTTCATTGCTTCAATTTGGTAGCAACTAATTAAGTCCTGTACTTTCCTGATTGCATACAATGGACCAAACAAGCACTAATTACTAACATAGTTTTGAATCGTTTTACTTGTTTTTCTGTAGATGAATGTTATAATTAAAATGGAATGTGGTGTGCATAATGTTAGAAACCAAGGCTTTATACAGGATCAGTGTGATCCATGAAATTTGGATAAATTCACTTTATTTACTGATGTTAAATTAAACATTACCTATCATACCTTGTGTGTATGTATTTGCATTCAGTATGGTATCATATATGTACTTAATGAACTGAGTAAAATTTGGATATGCTAATGAATCATAAGTGGAAAAAGAGAAATAAAAGAATGACTTGTTTCCAAATCATCCTTACGGATAAGTAGATTTGACAGCATTATCTGAAGATAAATAAGAAAAAGGTAAAGTGCCTGTAAGGTTTCCATTTCCCCACAAACGAAATTCCCCCATCCCCAAGTAAATACCATTGTAAATACCTTTTTCTTTTCACCTAGAAGCTTGCTGGGCCTATCTCAGATATTTGACTCATTATATTTTTCTATGATAGTCTAAATACTTCTATAGTAATATTTTCAAGGTTTTTTTTGATATAATGTTTGACAGCAACTTGCACAAAGATAAATATCAGGCATTTCTAATTATGTATTTTAACTAGTAGCAGTAACTTTGTGAAAATTTGTTTTGAATAGACAAAAACATTTAAAAGTGAATATTCCTATATTTTTCCTAAATAAAAATCATGCACTTGTCTTAAAATCCTAAAGAGATTTTTTAAAAAGCTATACCTATAGAGAATAGGGTAGGCTTAAGTTAACAATTCTTTTAAGCAGGATTTGTATGTAGGGATGTAATTGTGGTTTTGAGCTTGCATTTGTTCTGTTCTCTATAATTTAAAGTGACATTGTTCACAAGGTTGCTTATCAGATATAATCTATACTATCTGCTTTTGGTAAAGTGTAGGTGCTTTTGAAACAGCTTCCCAGTTACTATGATTTCTCATTCTTTCAAGTAAAAGGTGATGGTTGTGGGGCAGATGGTAAAGACCTAAATCCTACTCTGATTATTTATAACTTTGTTCTGAGGTATGAGGAAAAGTTACTGAACACATGAACACAACTTTTTTTTTTTTTTTTTTTTTTAATCCCCACCTTCAGTACTAGGGGTTGAACCCAGGGTGCTTTTACCACTAAGCTAATCTCCAGCTCTTTTCAAGAGCATATTTTATTTTGAGCAAGATCTTGCTAAATTGCCAAAGCTAGCCTTGAACTTTTGATCCTCCAGTATCAGCCACCCAAGTCATTGGGATTATAGGCATGTGCCACCTCACCTAGCACTTTTTTTTTTTGGAAGGGATATGGGGACTGAACTCGGGGGCACTCAGCCACAGAGCCACATCCCCAGCCCTATTTTGTATTTTATTTAGAGATAGGATCTCACTAAGTTGCTTAGCACCTCACCATTGTTGAGGCTGGCTTTGAACTGAGATTCTCCTGTCTCAGCCTCCCAAGCCACTGGGATTATAGGTGTGTGCCAATGTGCCTGGCTCACCTAGCACATTTTTTACTTTTAAAAGATAATGGGTACTAGGAAAGGTTATGTGTCATAGGATTATTTATTTTTTTTTTTAAGAGAGGGTCTTACTAAATTGCTAGACTGACTTCAAACTCTCAATTCTTCTTCCTCAGACTCCTGAGTAGCTGGCATTATTGGCATGTGCTACCAGTGTGGTTTATTCTAAGCTTTTTGTTTTTTGTTTTTCAACACTACTAGAATGTGAACCCAGAGGCTCTTTACCACCTAGATACATCCCCATCCCTTTTTATTTTTTATTTTTTACTTTGAGACTGGGTTTCACTAAGTTGCCTATGCCGGCCTTTAACTTGGCGTCCTCTTGCCTTAAGCTCTGGAATAGCTGGGGTTATAAGCAAGCATGCACCCCACATCTGGCATTTAAATTTTACTCAAGAAATTTTGCATTTTTCAAATAAGCTAATACTTATTTTCTTCCATTTAGAATGTCTTATATTTAGAGAGAGTGCTATCCTCAGTGCCTGATTTTTTTTTCCCAGTTAATTCTTTATGGTATGTGTGGTTATAGAAATAGATACACGGACAGGCTTTTTAAAAATTATTTTTTAATTTTGAATCATTTTTTATGAATCTTTATTTTATTTATTTATTTATTTATTTATTTATATGTGGTGCTGAGAATCGAACCCAGTGCCTCACACATGCTAGTCAAGCACTCTACCACTGAGCTACAAGTCTAGCCCATGAACAGGCTTTTATTTTAAGTTGGCATTAGGTCAGACATACTTAAATTCCTATTGTTGTGTGGAATAAAAATTAAGTACTCTGTTGAAATTAGGTCAGACTTACTCCAAATGGTTGAAATAATAATTATAAATCAGCTAATATAAAACAAATAATTATCTAATTGATCATACAATACAAGGAGAGTATCTTTGTTATAGAGGAAAGTAAGTAACAAAATTAGGTATTAAGTTAGATTTGTTAATGATCAAAAATAATATATGCTAATAAGTATACTTTTATCCCCCCAACATTTTATTAAACAGTGAAACAGTGTTTGAGAACACGAACAATGTTAAAAGATCTTTTTTTTTTTTTTTTTTTTTTTTTTTTTAAACTGGGAATCGAACCCAGGGACATTTTACCACTGAGCTACATTCCCAGCCCTTTATATGTATTTTTTTCCTTTTTTGTTTTGAGACAAGGTTTTCTTGTTAAGTTGCTTATGGCCTTGCTAAGTTGCTAAGGCTGGCCTCAAACTTGCGATTCTCTTGCCTCAACCTCCTGAGTCCATGAGATGACAGGACTGCACCACCACACCTGCCTGCAGTGCCAAAAGAATGTTATAGTGAAGCTCATATCTGTCACCTGGATTCTGATCTTAATGTATATTACACTGATTTATCATGTCTGTCCAAGTAAATATCCAATAAACCATCCTGTGTTTTGATGGATTTTAAAACAGTATGGATGGATTTCAGATATCAGTATTATTTTCCCTAAATACTTCAACATATTCATGCCATTAGTTAGAGTTCACAAACACAGAATTTTTAGTTTTGCATTTTCTTCCCCTGAAGATTCTAAATAGTTAGTAGTTAAGAAATTTGAATATTAAGTTGTGGGGAAATTAACTTTATAAGAAATTGGTTACGACATGAAGTTTTAATGAGCATCTCTAGTGTGCTTTCACTTTGTTTCCCTTTTTGGTGTTTCATTAGTGGACTTGTCAGAAATCAGTTTTGTTTTTTAATAGGTCTTTACCTTGGTTTTACATCTAATTTTTTCTTAAGTTTAAAACTCACATTTTTCAAAGCTCTGTCTTAAGTCATGTTAACTTTGCTGCTGCTTTTCTTCATTTTCCTGTATTTTGAACTGGTATTAAATGAATAGTAACTATTTCTGATGTTGATTTTCCAAATTGAATTCATCAGCACATATTAAAATTAATATTTAATGTCTCACATACCTAAGTTCTAAATAAGTTTTAATTCTAGGACATTGTTAGCCTTATTATACAAAGTTTGATTTTTTTAAAAATGTGGGTCATCTTAAATATGCATTCACAGGAGACAAGAGTTGTGAGTATTATGCTTCCTCTGTGATAGCATAGATTTCTAGTATTAGACTTTAAGATTGAAAATGTTGTCCTTGAGATTATTTTTAAAAATGAGTTGTTTCCTTATGTTTTTAATTTTTCATATTGATACAGATTTTTCATTCATCTCGATAAAGTATATGTAGAAATTTTATTTAAATTTTAATTCAGACATCTGGAGAGAAGTTTGTGAAATTTACAAGTTAATTGGTACATATATGCATTACTGTAGAGTAATAATCATTTTTGCTTCTTTCAAAATTATGTTTTGTAGTACTTAACATTATTTTGATATTTAGTACAAAGAAATGTGCTGCATGCATTGAGCATTTTTCTACAAGTTTTTTTTTTTTCCCTGATGTGCTATTTCACATATCACAGGACTTATTTTTTGAACATTTGAGCAAAAGAAACAGATGAAACCTCATACAAAACCCTCCAAAATATGAAAATATGGGGTTTATTTGTGCTAATGTTCTTCTTTTGGAAACATATATATTAAAGGTAAGGTCAATTTATTGATTTAAACCATGTAGTACATAAAAATTTATTATCCATGATTAAACTTTGCAAGACATTGTTTTTAAAAAAAAGATTTTTAACTTGTGGAATAAAAACTTTATCTGAAAAGTGTCAAAAAGACTAAAATGAATTATTCCCAAGTTTTCAGAAATATCTTGGGAATATAATTTTTTAATCTGCTTTATATAAAAATTTGACTGGTTTTAAGCTTTGATATTATCATTTTCTAGGATCTCATGGTTGGTGATGAGGCAAGTGAATTACGATCAATGTTAGAAGTTAACTATCCTATGGAAAATGGCATTGTACGAAATTGGGATGACATGAAACATCTGTGGGATTATACCTTTGGACCAGAGAAACTTAACATAGATACCAGAAATTGTAAAATCTTACTCACAGAACCTCCTATGAACCCAACCAAAAACAGAGAGAAGATTGTAGAGGTAAGTTTTTAGATGGGATATGCATATGTGTGTCTTTGTGATGTTATATTAAATCAAAAATTCTTTTTTCTTACCATAGTTCCTATGGATAAAGGGAATAAAAATAATTTATTTTGCATTTTCTACAGTTTGACCATTCCTAATATGTAATCTAAAACTTTTTGAGCATGGCATGATGCTTAAGAAGTTTTGGGCTATGCAGCATTTTAGATTTTGGAATTTTGGATTAGATGCTCAACTGGTAAAGTCTGTGAATATTCAATGCCTGAAACACTTCTGGTCCCAAGCATTTCAGATAAGGGATACTCAACTTGAATATGCTAGTCTTTATTACTCTAAGTGGGATATATTAATAAACAAAATCCTGATGATGTGAAGTTTATATTTTAGCAGGGGAATATAGGCTTTTGTTGTCGTTGTTGTTGTTGTTAGGACATAATAGGTGCTAAAGGAAAAACTATAGAGTAAGTTAAGGAAAGTGGGCAGTTGCAGTTGTAGACAAGTTGTGGTAATAGGCCTCTATCTAAAAATGATGTTTAAACAAAGACTGGTAAGGGAATTAGCCAGGATATATAGGGGAAGAGCCTTGCAGGCAGAAAGGAATAGCCAATGTAAGTCTTAAAGTTGGAACATTTTGGCATTTTTAAAACATTTTAAAAACATTTTTTAAAGAGAGAGTGAGAGAGAGAGAGAGAGAATTTTTTTAATATTTATTTTTTAGTTTTCGGCGGACACAACATCTTTGTTTGTATGTGGTGCTGAGGATCGCACCCTGGCCGAATGCATGCCAGGTGAGCGCCCTAACGCTTGAGCCACATCCCCAGCCCCATTTTGGCATATTAGGGGATCAGCCAGAGAGTTAGTGTGACTGTAGAGTGTCGTTGATGGAAGAACACAAAGAGATAACATTGGATAAGGAACATGATTGCCTTGTAGGCTAAAACAGGGAACTACACTTTTACTCTGAGTGAAATGAGGGACACTTACAGGGAAGAAATGCTGATTCAGATTTCTTTCTTTTTTTTTTTTTGGCTGCTGTGTTGTGAGTATACCATAGGGAGGCAAAGGTGAAAAAGAGACCAGTTTGAAGATTTTCAATTATTTAGGCAAATGATAATGACGGCACCTTGAGAGGTGGCGCATACCTGTAATCCCAGCTGCTCAGGAGGCAGAGAGAATCGGGAGTTCAAAGCCAGCCTCAGCAAAAGCAAGGCGTTAAGCAACTCAGTGGAACCTTGTCTCTAGATCAAATACAAAGATAGGGCTGGGGGCTGGGGATGTGGCTCAAGTGGTAGCACGCTCTCCTGGCATGCATTTGGCCCGGATTCGATCCTCAGCACAACATACAAAGACGTTGTGTCCGCCGAAAACTAAAAAATAAAAATATATTAAAAAAAAAAAAAGATAGGGCTGGGGATGGGGCTCAGTGGTCAAGTGTCCCTCAGTTCAATCCCCGGTACCAAAAAAAATAAAAAAGATAATGATGGTTAAGATCAGGGATAACAGCAGAAGTATGAGAGGTGATCAGATTATGTACAGGAATTTTCTGATGCTTTGGATGTGGGGTTGTCAGGAAGGTTCTGACTTTAGTAACTAGAAGACATAGTTACCATCAGCTAAGAATTTAAGGCAAATGATCGGGAGTTCAGTTTTGATATGTTAAGTTTAAGACTGTCATTAGACATCGAAGCAGAAATGTCAAAGATACAGTTGTAGATACAAGATCGAGTTCAGGCTGGAGATATAAACTTGAGAGCCTTCAGGATCATACTGTTCTCCACAGTGAGAGTAGACAGGGGTGAAAAGGCTAAAAACCAGAGAGATCGGAGAATACAGCGGGAAACTGAGAAGACAAGTACAGTAAAACAAAGAAGTATGGACTTCTTTGAGAAGAAAGAAAGAGCAGGAGAGCTACATTTCCAATACGTAAAGTTTCAAGTTTTTCTTTCATTTTGTTATATGATGTAGAAACTTTTGATAACTTTCTACATCTTAGTAGCTTGCTATTTGCTATGCAATGTAAATGAACCAATTTTTACGTAATTTGTTTTACTCTATGAATATATTTAGATGTTGAAGGAAATTTTGGAAAAGGGTTAGAAGAAATTTTCTGTTAGATGACATTTTATAGTTTTAGACAATGAAAACTCAGTTTTTTTTTGTTGTTTTTTTGAATGGACAGGCTCAAGTGGTCCTCCTGTTGGTAGCCTCCTGGGTAGCTAGAGACTAAGTATTCATTACTGTTTCTAGCTAAAACTTAATTTTTGTATTAGGTTTTGTACACTTTTTTTGTGGGGCGGGGGGGGGGTCTTGCTTAGGATTTATCCCAGGGGTTTACGTATGCTAAGCAAGTACTGTACTACTAAGCCACATCTGCCACCCACAAGTACTTGAATAGTCTTATAAATATAAATAAATTTTTTTTCCTTATTTAATTTATTTCTTCTTTTTTTTTCTTTTATAAATAAATTTTAACAGACTTTCAAGTTGGTATGTGCACATATAATATGAATTTAAGTTCTATATAATTCTCATTGTGATTCATTGTAAAATTTGTAAGTATCTAGATATTCATAGTGACAGTTGACCCTATGAGTCATGCTCACTAGAGACTATTGGTAAAAGAAATGCAAGTTATTCCAGCTGACCTGGGCTGCAGAGAATAAGTGTGACTGGAGAGGGCAAAAGGAAACTCCCTCCTCCTGTGTAGTTCATGGGGAGGAGAGAGGAGTTATAGGCTTGGTTCAATGATGGGACCATCTGCTCTGCAGCTAAGCAATTTCTTTATCTGCCATCTTATTAACACAGTTAATAAAAGTCTTCATCTTCTCATTTTATTTCATGATTTTAGGGTGTGTGTGTGTGTGTGTGTGTGTGTGTGTGTGTGTGTTGTTTGTAGGAATTGGTTGGATCCAGGGCCCCTTGCATGTTAGGCACTCTACTATTAAACTGCATCCCCAACTCTACTTCTTTGTTTTTTAATATTTTTTTAGTTGTAGTTGGGCACAAAATCTTTATTTATTTTTTTATGTGGTGCTGAAGATTGAACTCAGAGCTTCACATGTGCAAGACAAGCACTCTACCACTGAGCCACAACCCCAGTCCATACTTCTTTGTTTTTAACTGCAAGGGTTGAAGTGCAGGAAGCTTTCTGTCACACTAATTAGCCACTAATTATAATACTCTCAGAAATCTTTGTTTTGTAGCACTTATGAATGCTTGGAGATTTAGTATGTATCTAAAAAATTATGGTCAGCATTGGAGCTCTGTGACAGCAGGAGTTTATAGAGTCAGGAGAAACTGTTTAGAATGGATGACTGTTCAGGTCCCTTTAATTCTATTTGGTCAACTGATCCTCTCTATGAGCATAAAGAAAGCATATAAATATATATTATGCATCTTTGTAAATGCCACTTTTTTTTTTTCCTACATTTTCAGGTAATGTTTGAAACTTACCAGTTTTCTGGTGTGTATGTAGCCATCCAGGCAGTTCTGACTTTGTATGCTCAAGGTAGGTAATACTTAACTGTTAGAAAAATTAATTCACCATTAATCTTATGCCAGAGAAATTTGATTTCTCATTAAGTTACAAATCCCAGAAAAATCACATTATTTATATACCACACTTTGAAATATTTTCACAACTTGTTATTTCTCAAATAAAATATCATTTACTTTTATTTGCTTTACTGCACAGGAAGATTTAAAGCAATTCACCAATTTTTGGTGAAGGGGGCCAGTGCTAGGGATAGAATCCAATGTCTTAAGCATGCTAGAGAAGTTCTTTGCCACTGAACTACATCCCCAACCCAAGACCAGTTTGAAAAAAAGGATATTCCCTCTTAAGCTATTTTAATTTTTTATGCAGAAGAAAATAAAATGGAATTATCTTAACAATTGGCTTGAATTTTAAAAATACACACAAACACACACACACACACACACATCTAATAGGTTAGCCTAAAAATCAGACTTGTCAAGATATAAAATAGGAGGAATAAAAGGGAAAAGAAGGACATTTGGGATTCATATTTTTTGAGGTGGATTTAATGAAAGACTGGTGGCAGACACTGGAACTTTGACTTTGTGACTCTAGAAAGGAAAACAAGTCAGGACAGAGAACAAAGAAATGTAAAGCTTTTATTAGGGCTTCTCATAAGAGAAAAACTGGGCAGCCTCTGGAACAAAGGGAGTTTTATTCCTGTGAAAGGGCTATTTGGAAGGAGAGGGTAAGGCTTAGGAATGTTAATTGGCTTTAGGTACCTTTCAAAAGTGTGCTTTTCTTGTGAGAGCATCTTAACTCTGAGGAAGGCACTGTCAGCAGTCATCATGGAAGAGTCTTGACAGGTTTTCATACTAATGCCACATTCTGTATAAACATCTCTGTCTTGTGATAAGGATGAGATGTTATAGCTGTTAAGAGAACACATGGGTGGGAAATGGAAGAGAACACAAAATCATGGCAAATAACAATTTAAGGGCTCAGTCCTTAGCAGTTTTAATCTTTTGTGTTGTCAGAGAGTCATGGCAAGAGTGTTTTGGCCCTAATGATGCACCTGGTCTCTGAAGCTGATATGGTTGTTTGAAGGGGATGGGTAAGGCATGTACCAAGCTTTTAATAGTTAACAAGTTATGAATGAAGGTGAGAGAAGAGAGAAAAAACATTATACTATCTTTTAATGACTGTCAGGCCATGAGTTAATAAGGCCCAGGAGTGCATTTGCTCTTTACCCCTGTGGTGGTCTGTTTCAGATTTACTATGTTCTCTTGGTATTGCCATACCTTGCCTTCTTGTTTATTGAGAATCAGATAGTGGCCATGTGGGGAGAGCCCTTTATATTTTGATGGCTTTGTAAGTTCAACAAGAACTATTGAGAATTTATGGTGCTATCAAATATGTGCCAAGGAGTCTTTTAGGCATTGAAGTAAAAGATGCCCTTAAGTGATATCGCCGGTTATCAGGTGACAAGCCTTGCTTCCCCACATGTTGAAGTTTGAACATTAGAGAAGCACACGGAGACAAGCATATGATGCAGAGTTTATTTAAAAATTGGTAACATAGACTTCTCCCGTGAGGGAGAAGGGGGCCATAGCTGGTATCATGGTATCCCAAGAGGTGAGGTGTTCTGCCTTTCCCCCCTTATCTTTCTCCTTCCTGCTTATATGACTAGGCCCAGGAATGCTCCTTGGGATGGCCAAAAGGTGGGAAACAGGTGGGCTGAAGGGGGAAGGGCAGGATAGAATAGACAGGGACACATTAACAACCTTAAAGCAGCTCCCTGGGACAGGTTACCTTGGCAACAGGTTGGAGCAGGGGCAGGTTCTTGATAAGATTCCTCAGAGGACAGTCTCCAACTTCCCAGACTCACTCAAAATTGGCCTCCTTGACCTGACCTGACTCGATTTACCTATCTACACTGACTGCCTATCTAATTCTGGCTTCACAAGGAACTTATGGGGAGAACAAAAATTCAGAAATAAAGAATTTAACTTTATGGTGATTTATTTGATTTTACTCATAGGTTAGTAAAAACTTGGAAAATACATTTTGGGTTTAAAAAATACCTTTTGTACTATATATAGATACATAGAAAATACTTGGGTTGAATTTTTTTTTTAATATTTATTTTTCAGTTTTCAGCGGACACAATATCTTTGTATGTGGTGCTGAGGATCGAACCCGGGCCACACGCATGCCAGGCGAGCACACTACTGCTTGAGCCATATCCCAAGCCCTTGGGTTAAATTTTTAAAGAAGCTTTATTTATTCACGAAATGTAGTGTGTGTCTTGCACTGTTAGAACAAAGGATATAGCAGAGAAAGAGACATGGTCTCTTTGTCCTTAAGGTGATTTTAGTCCAGCTATGAGAAACTTTTCCTTTGAAGGAGGAGGGAAAAAAATCACTTTCGTATAAGGGAGGGAGTGCTTGTCTGCAACTAGGTAATTTTATTTCATTTCTTAAAAACAACTTTCAGGCCAGGCTCAGCAGCACACACCTGTAATCCCTGCCACGAAGGAGGCTGATGCAGGAACATACAAGTTAAAGGCTAGCATCAGCAACCTAGTGAGATACTAAGCAACCCTGTCTCAAAATGAAAAATAAAAAGGATATAGCTCAGTGATAGAGCCCTGGGTTTAATCCTAATACCACAGGTAAAAAAATATATATATAAATCAATTTAAAAATGGAGGTAGTTGTTGGGCATGGTGGTGCTTGCCTGTAATCCCTAGCAGCTTGGGAGGCTGAGGAGGATCTATAGTTCAAAGCCAGCCTTAGCAACAGTAAGGCACTAAGCAACTCAGTGAGACCCTATCTCTAAATAAAATACAAAATAGGGCTGGGGATGTAGCTTAGTGATTGAGTGCCCCTGAACTCAATCCCTGGTACCCAACACATAAAAAGAAAAAAAAAAAATGGAGGTAGTTGAATAAGTTTATTAAAAAACAATTAGATACTATAGCACATGCAAATTTACACTAATAAGAAAGAGGAAGAGAGCCTATTTAGGAATAAGTAAATAGTAAAGTAAGAGTAAACTTATAAATAATGTATATTTTGGTTTAATTTTTTTCTATTAAAAAATATAAGGAAAAACGGGCTGGGGATATAGCTCAGTTGGTAAAAAGTACTTGCCTTGCATCCACAAGGCCCTGGGTTCAATTCCCAGCACCACAAGAAAAAACATATATATGAAAAAAAAAAGTTTTTTCCCCCTGTTACAGAAGGTGGAACACTAACTTTTTGCAGCCATTTTTGTTTTCCTATAGAACACATGAGAAGCCAAGTGGCTTCTCTGCTATTCTTTTATTATAAAATAGAACCAGCAGTGTTTTTCTGGTATTGGGTGAATAATTGAACTAATGCTTTGGCTAGACAAGCTTAATTGTTTCTCAGTAGTCTAGCCATCCAGTATTAGTAGACATTTCTAAAATAACCATTTTGAATGTGTTGTGTGTCCAAAAAACAGTAAAGAATTATATGATTTCAACAGGTTAACGGGTTAACTTGTTATTTTGTGCAGTTTTTACAATTTTTTTTAATATTTATTTTTTAGTTTTAGGTGGACAGAATATCTTTATTATTWTTTTTTTTTAATGTGGAGCTGAGGATCAAACCCAGTGCCTCACGCATGCCAGGTGAGCGCACTACCACTTGAGCCACATCCAAAGCCCCAGTGTTTTTTCACGGTGATTTTTAAAGAAGTTATCCGTGATGCTTTAGAAAAGTTTACTTTTAGTAAAGTCAGTAATCAAGATTAAGTTGGAGGAGCTGGGGTTGTGGCTCAAGTAGTAGAGTGCTTGCTTAGCACCTATGAGGCACTGGGTTCGATCCTCAGCACCACATAAAAATAAAATAAAGATATTGTATCCACCTAAAACTAAAAAATAAAAAAATTTATTTTAAAAGATTAAGTTGGAGGAGCCAGGTGCAATCACACCTGTAATCCCAGCAAATTTGGAGGCTGTGTCAAGAGGATTACAAGTTCAAGGCCAATCTCAGCAACTCAACTAAGCAAGTTAGTGAGACCCTGTCTGAAAAATAAAAGGGGCAGGGATGTGACTCAGTGGTAAGATACTCATGGATTCAATCCCCAGTTCAAAAAAAAAAAAAAAAAAAAGGCTAAATTGGAAGGAAAAATTAAGAATTGTACTGAGCTTTAGTAATGTAGGTCTCAGGGTTTGTTTCTTTCCATTTCCTTAGGGAGGAGAGACATGATTATACTAAAAGTCTCACAAGAGAACACTAACTTTAATATCTATGTATTAGAAACAAATTGCAAAATAAGTAAATAAAAAAGAAGTGCTGACTTCTACTAGACCTTTCTCATTTGGTTAATTTTCTCATTTGACTTCTACACTATATTGAAACTTGTCATCTTCGATTTTTTCTGACTTGGCTTTTTATTTAAAACCTCCTGGTTTTTGTGCAGGTTTATTGACTGGTGTAGTGGTGGATTCTGGAGATGGTGTAACTCACATTTGCCCAGTGTATGAAGGTTTTTCTCTCCCTCATCTTACCAGGAGACTGGATATTGCTGGGAGGGATATTACCAGATATCTTATCAAGGTAAGTGAAAGGAAAATACCATGGAAACTAGTTTTTGTAGTTTGTTTACTGATTTAACACAAAATTCAGTGTATAAGGATTCTAGATAATCTCCATCAGAAAAGTTACCCAGTTATCCATTATTCATGTAAAAATAAACATATGATTTCTGGTATACTAATAAGAATATATTATTTGCTACTATTGAGAAATGCTGACTGTGCATCAACATAGGTTGCATTAAGTCTTTACCTTGACATTGGGTTCCTTTAGTCTCATTTACAGTAATCCTCTTCATGTAAGGAGATGAAATTAATGAGATTTTTTTTTTTTAATGTTTAGTTTTTGATGGACACAATGTCTTTATTGTGCCTCAAGCATGCTAGGTGAGCGCTCTTCCTCTGAGCCACAGTCCCAGCCCAAATTAATGAGAATTTTAATACTCACTCTAGGCCCAAATTCTTAGGTAACCAGCAGAGTTTCTGTGGGTCTTATTTTGAATATAAACACAAAGATTAGAGGACTTCACAAAGTCTAGTTGTGTTTATGAGGCTTATTAAGTTATTTTCTCTAGGTAGTTTGCTTTTTTAATATTTCTTATCACTTAAGAAATGAAGAGCTAGGTTCACTGGCACATGTTTGTAGTCCTACATGCTTGGGCTGAGGCAGATCACTTGTACTTAGGAGTTCAAGGCTGGCCTGGGCAAAATAACCAGACCCCATCTCTAAGAAAACAGAGTGAGGGAGGAAGAAGTATAAACTAAGAGATTCAAGTATCCCGACAATTTTTATTCACTTAACAAATTCTGTTGGCCTACCAATAGTGCCAGACATGGTACTGAAAGTCAAAGATAAAACTCTCTAGGACCTGGGGAATTTTATAAACATGGCATTGATAGAATAAGCAAATTGCAGGCTACAGAAGTCTACTACTAAAATAGTATTTATTCATTATGTAGTTTTGATTGTTCATGAGCACTAAACATAAGTACACAAACAGTATGTTCATGAGCACTAAACATAAGTACACAAACAGTACTCTTTTTAAAAATTTTTTTCTAATTTATTTTACCAAATTATTATTCATGAACTGTTAATTTTTTTACTCTCTGTGAAATTGAAATATATATCCTCTTAAAGCAGATAAAATTCCCACTTCCAAAATATTCAGTAGGAACTGAGGATTCACTGCCATTGTATTTGCAATTGATGTGTCATTTTATGAGCATTAATATCTTTTGCAGAGTAGAACTCATTACGGTCTATTATGAACCTTCTGCTGTGTTTTCTTTCTTTCTTTTTTTTTTTTGTACCAGCTGCTTCTGTTGAGAGGATACGCCTTCAACCATTCTGCTGATTTTGAAACGGTTCGCATGATTAAAGAAAAACTGTGTTATGTGGGATACAATATTGAGCAGGAGCAGAAACTGGCTTTAGAAACCACAGTATTAGTTGAATCTTATACAGTAAGTATATCCAGTGTATAATATAGATTCAGTTTAAAAATGAACAGGCATAGTTATTGATAACAATTTAAGGAGGTTATCTTCATCAGCTTTTTATTTTGTTTTGTTTTTATAGTGCTGGGTTTGAACTAGGGTTTTGAATGAGCCCCAAATAGTTATTTTTAAAGTAATTATAAATGTTTATAATTTTTTTGTTATGATACTGTTCCAAATACACAATAAAATCCACTTTATAACTTAATGATCTCCAAATTTGCCTTTGAGATTCATTCTTGAAATCTTCTCTCAATAGTTTCTGTAGATTTCTTATTTGCCATTTACCTGAATTGTTTGGAAAGAAAGTGGCACAAGGCAAATGATAAGAGAACTAAAAATGCAAATCTTCCCTTCTTTTTCAAACAATTTGAGATAGGTTACAAAAATACATAGAAGTGTGAAAATAGTAAACTATTGAGTAAATAAAAAGTACAAGTCTGGGTGAACAAATATAAGATATGTGTAATTTCTCTGCACGTATCTGTAAATAACTTCAGCCACTTGTTTTAAGGAATATGTTTGTTTTGTGCTTCATTGACATTTTAAATATAAATAATAAATATAATTAGAAAACTATAGTTACAGTATGATTATAAATTTATGTATTACTTGTCAATAAGTATTCTGTTAAAATATGAATATAAAGAAAATTCTGATATCTCAGAAATGCATCTAATGCCAGCATTCATGAGCATATATTGTTGCTTATATCAATCCAGTAAGTTGTCAGGTGTAATATAAGAGTTTCTACTTCACATTTCTGATTTAATTAAATATAAACATGGTGTGACCTAAGAGTTTTCTACGCAGGTCATGATATGATATGGGATCTGTTATTTAAATCTTACTGGTTTAAACTAAAATTGTATTCAGCAGTTTTTTAAGAATTTATATCCTGATAGGATATTAAAAAATAGCCTATAAAAAGTAGTCTACGTTAGTGTTTACTTTTTTGATGGTGAACATTTTTTGGATTAAATTATTTGAGAATTAGTACACATAAAGTATTGAGATAGCAAAATAAATAGTATCCAAGCTGGACATGGTGGTGCAAGCCTGTGATTCCACCTATTTAGGAAGCTAAGGCAAGAAGTTTGAGGTCAGTCTAGGCAATTCAGTAAGAACTTGTTTCAAAATAAAATTTTAGGCTGGGAATATGGCTTAGTGGTAGAGTGTTTGCCTAGCATGCATGGGGCCCTGGGTTTGATCCTCAGCACCAAAAAAAACAATTTTTTTTTAAGGGTTGGAGATATAACACAGTGGTAGAGTGTAATAGTTTCACAGACTAGTTATTTGGTGAAAGAAATCTATTTATTTATTTATTTAATAGGCATAATATCTTTATTTTATTTATTTATTTTTATGTGGTGCTGAGAATCCAATCCAGTGCCTCATATATACTAGGCAAGTGCTCTATCACTCAGCCCCAGCCCCAGCCCGAAAGAAAATTATTAAAAATGTTTATTGTGAGCTGGGCATGATGGCACAAGCCTACAATCCCAGCAACTCGAGGCTCAGACAGGAGAATCACAAGTTTGAGGCTGTCCTCAGGAACTTAGTAAAGCCCTAAGCATCTTAATGAGACCCATTTATTTTTATTTAAAAAAAATTTAAAAAAAATTTTTTTAAAGGGACCAGGGGTGGGTTCAGTGGTTAAGCATCTCTGGGTTCAATCCCCAGTACCAAAAAAAAAAAAAAAAAAAAAGTTTATTGTGTATGAAATCACAAATGTATTGAAAATTTAAAACAATAAGCATTAACACATACCAGCAATAAGAATTTAGTAGTTGTTCAATACTGCTTTGCTGCACACAGATGGATGTCAGGCACATATGTACTGATGAGTTCTCTAAGAAATTCCTGCTATTTGGGAGCATGGCGTACTTTTTGTTTGTTTGGTTTTTTTTTTTTTTTTTTTTTTTTTTTTGGTACCAGGGGTTGAATCCAGGGGTGCTGTTTTCTATTTTTTATTTTGACGATAGGGTCTCCCTAAGTTGCTTAGGGCCTTACCAAGTTGCTGAGGCTGGCTTTGAACTTGTGATCTTCCTGCATCAGCCTCTTCAATCACTGGGATTACAGGAATGCACCATCGTGCCCAGCTGTGACATACTTTTTTTTTTAATGGACACAATATCTTTATTTATTTTTATGTAGTGCTGAGGATTAAACCCAGTGCCTCACACGTGTGAGACAAGCACTGTACCACTGAGCTACAGCCTCAGCCCCTGTGACATACATTTTTAAATGTAAAATAGAGCATAATAATAAGAATCTAAATAAATTTTAGTTTCCCTTTTTTAAAAAACCTTTTAGGAAAGGGAAAAAAAAAACGAGAGAAATGAATTATAGTAGATGGGCTATAGGGAGAAGATGGGAGGGGAGGGGAGGGGGGATAGGAAGGGGATAGGAAGAGCAGCAGAATACAACAGACACTAGTATGGCAGTATGTAAAAACGTGGATTGTAACCGATGTGATTCTGCAATCTGTATACGGGGTAAAAATGGAAGTTCATAACCCACTTGAATCAAATGTATGAAATATGATATATCAAGAGCTTTGTAATGTTTTAAATAACTAATAAAAAAGTTTTAGAAAAAATTAATTGCTTTTAACAATTTTAGTTATAGAATATACTAATGTATCTGGAGAATACTGTAAAGTACTAATGTTTAAAAGTACTGACGTTCTGGAGAATATTTGGCTGAGACTAGTACCTGGTTATTCTTTGTTTCTAGCTCCCAGATGGACGCATTATTAAAGTTGGGGGAGAGAGATTTGAAGCACCAGAAGCTTTATTTCAGCCTCATTTGATCAATGTTGAGGGAGTCGGTGTTGCTGAATTGCTATTTAACACAATCCAGGCGGCTGACATTGATACCAGGTACATTAGAAATGATGGTTTCCAAATTATTTATCAGAAATGGATCTATTTATCAGTAGTTAGAATGAACAAGTTGTCTGTTATCTCATGTTATTAAACAAATTTTTGATAGGACAGTACTGGATGTTGAATAACATATAATACATGATTGTGTCTCAGAAGCCACTTTCTTTTTTCCATGTTTTTTATTGGTACTTTATGATTACACGTAATGGGGAGATTTGTTATTACCTCTTCATACATGCACGTGATGTAAACAATATAATTTGGCCAATATCGTTCCTCAGTATTTCCCCTTTCCCTTCCCTCTTTCCTACCTGTTGTCCCTTTTCTCTACCTACTGATCTCCCTTTTTTTCCAGCAGATTCCCCCCTTCTTTTCCTTTTTCCTTTCTAACTTCCACATAAGAGAAACCATATCATTCTTGACTTTCAGAAGCCACTTTGTACTTATTTTGAAGTAATTTAATACCTACAGAAAACTCGTCTACATTCATTGTTTTAGTGATTTTAATGTTCTATACGTTTGCTTTATCATTCTTTTTTTCTCCAAAACCATTTGAGAGTAAGTCAAATGCATCAGTTCTCTTTACCAGTTTGTTTCCTAAGAAAAGAAAGTACTCTCTTAGAAAGTCACAATGTGGCTGTCAAGTTTATAAGAATTAATTAATTTTTTAATACTGGAAATTGAACCTAGGACCTCTGCACTGATCTCCAGCCCTTTTTATTTTTTATTTTGAGACAGAATCTTGCTAAATTGCCCAGGCTGGCCTCAAACTTGCAAACCTTCTGCCTCAACCTCCTGAGCCGCTGGAATTACACATGTGCACTACTGTGCCCGGCTCTCTTAATCACCTTTTATCTGGTACAGTTGTTTGTCTTTCATGGCATTGACATTTTTGCAGACTACAAGCCAGTTATTGTAGAGAATTTCTCTTATTTGTGTTTGTCTATTTTCTTATAGTTAGATTCAAGATGTGCATTTTTTGGCTAGAATACTATGTAAATGATGTGCCCTTCTCAGGGTATTACTTCCAGAGGTTAGGGTTATTATTCATGTTAGTGTTAAGCTCTTAGTGAAATTTACTGTTTTTGCTTTTCTCATTAATGATTTGTGGAAAAATACATTGAGGCTGTGTAAATTTTCTGTTCCTCATCACTCTGTCATTCCTATCTCTGCCTTTGGCATCCATGTGTGTTCCTTGCCTAAATCCATTTTTATTGTAATGACTGTGGAGAGTTGGTTTTTTAATTTATTTCTTCTGTTTTATTGATATTCCAGTGTAAGGAATTATTTTCCTACTCTGTTTTTCTTTTTTCTTTCTTTCTTTTATTTTTATTTTTTTGGTTCCAGGAATTAAACCCAGAGTTGTTTAACCACTGAGCCACATCCCCAACACCAACCCCCCTTTATTTAATTTTTTTAGGTTTTAATGAAATTTATTTTATTATTTATATGTGGCATTGAGAATCAAACCCATTGCCTTACATATGCTAGGCAAGAGCTCTACCAGTGAGCCACAACCCTAGACCCCCAGCTCTATTTTTATGTTTTATTTTGATATAGGGTCTTGCTAAGTTCTTAGGGCCTTGCTAAATTGCTGAGATTGATCTCAAACTTGGAATCCCCCTGCCTCAGCTTCCTGAATTGCTGGAATTATAGATGTGCACCACTAAGCCCAGACTTCATTATTATTATTATTATTTTTTAATCAACCTGGACTCATGATTTTACTCAGTGGATTATAATTTATTGCTGTCTGTTGTGATGCTTACATTATTCCTGATTTGGCCAATAGGAGTCCCTTCCAAGTAGGCTTCTGTGTCCTTTGACATTCCCCCCCATCAGTTTTTATGTGTTTTGATATGTAGAACATTGTCTACACTATCAGCTATACAAAAAAGTATACCTAGTACTACCTTTCCTTAGTCCTCCCTCTCTTGTAGGTAAATGATCTCATTAGTTTCTGGTTTGTCCTTTCTGTGTTTCTTATTGCTTTTCTTATAAAAAAAGGTAGCTTACTTAAATACTTTTTTATAATTTTTTTTCACTTACCAATATATTTTAAATAATGCTATATCATTTCATCGAGTTTGTCTTCATTCTTTTTCCATTTGTGTAGTACTCCATTATGTGAATATATTCTATTTCATTCAATGAAACCCACCCCCTTGTTGCAGGGCATGGGAGTGGCACCAGGAATTGAACCTCAGGACACTATCATTGAGTTACATCCCCATCCCTTTTATTTTTTATTTTGAGAATCTCATCAAATTTCCCAAGATGGCCTTACACTTGTGGTCATCATACCTCAGCCTTCTGAGTTGCTGAGATTTCAGGCATGTGTACCTGGCTCAATGAATCTTTTATTATTGGTTATTTAAATAGATTCCAATATCATGATGGGAAATAACATATGTGTGTCCGTGTGTGTTGTATTGTTGGATGTGTATATTCTGACTGCTATGTCAACTGGTAAATGCATGCCTTTTTATTTTTTTGTTGTTCTGGGGATTGAACTCAGGGGCACTCAACCACTGAGCCTCATCCCCAGCCCTATTTTGTATTTTAATTTAGAGACAGGGTGTGCATCGCTTTTGCTAAGGCTGGCTTTGAACTCACGATCCTCCTGCCTCAGCCTCCCGAGCCACTGGGATTATGGGTGTGCACTGCTGTACCTAGCATGCATGCCTTTTTTTTTTTTTTTTTTTAAGAGAGAGAGAGAGAGAGAATTTTTTAATATTTATTTATTTTTTTAAGTTATTGGCGGACACAACATCTTTGTTTGTATGTGGTGCTGAGGATCGAACCTGGGCCGCACGCATGCCAGTCGAGCGCGCTACTGCTTGAGCCACATCTCCAGCCCCGAATGCCTTTTTTTTTTTTTATAGAGAGGAGAGAGAGAGAGAGAGAATTTTTAATATTTATTTATTTTTTTAGTTGGCGGACACAACATCTTTGTTGGTATGTGGTGCTGAGGATCGAACCCGGGCCGCACGCATGCCAGGCGAGCGCGCTACCGCTTGAGCCACATCCCCAGCCCCGCGAATGCCTTTTTTGATTGACAAAAATTGTCCTTCTGTTGTACGTGATATTTTGAAATAGGAATACATTATAGAGTGGATAAATTTGAATTTATTAACTCCATACATTACTTCACATACAATTTTTTATGAGAACATTCAAAATCTCTCTTAGCTGATTATGGTGGCACAGGTTTGTAATCCCAGTTATTTGGAAGACTGAGACAGAAGGATAGCAAGTTTGAGGCTAGTCTTTGCAACTTAATGAGATCCTGTCTCAAATATAAAGAGCTAGGGATGTAGCAGAGGTAGAGCTCTTCCCTAGCATGTTAAAGGCTCAGGGTTCAGTCCTTAATACGTACTCCTTAAAAACAACTACTCAGTGATTTTTCAGGTTATCTATTATATTGTTATTAAATACAGTCATCATAGTATACAATAGAACTCTTGAACTCATTCCTGCTGTCTAACTGAAGTTTTATAACCTTTGATCAACATCTCCCTACTTCTACCCGCAGCCTGTGGTAACCAGTAACCACCATTCTACTCTCTGCTTCCATGAGTTCAAATTTTTGAGATTCCACATCGAAGTGGAATCATGTGGTATTTATCTATGTCTGACTTATTTCACTTAACATAATCTGCTCTAGGTCCATCCAGGTTGCTATAAATGACCGTATTTCCCTTTTAAGGGAAATTATATTACATATAATACTACATTTTATTTATCCATTTATCTGTTAAGGGACACTTAGATTGATTTCATATCTGGGCTATTGTAACTGATATTGCAGCAAATATGGGAGTGCACTTGTCTCTTCAGCATATTGATTTTAAGTCCTTTGGTATATATTCAGGAGTGGATTGCTAAAGCAGATGTTAGTTCTGTTGTTTAATTTCTTGAGGGATCTCCATTATCTTCCATAATGGCTGTACTAATATATGTTCCTCCCACCAAGAGTATACAAAGTTTTCCTTTTCTCATCACCAAAAGTTGTATTCCATGTTTTTGCTAATAGCCATTCTCACAGGTATAAGGTGATACATCATTCTGGTTTAATTGCATTTCTTTTCATATATCAGTTGTTCATTTGTATGTGTTCTTTTGAGAAATGAGTATTCAGTTCCTTTGTCCATTTTAAAATCTGATTTTTTGCTTTTGAGTTGTGTTCCTCATATATTTTGTATATTAACCATTTATCAGATGTATGGTTTTTCGGTATTTTCTGCTATTTAATAGTTTGCCTCTTTACTCTGTTGTTTCTTTTGCTGTGCAAAAGCTCTTGTTTTATGTAAATGCATATATTTTTGTTAGGTATCATCAAATTCTCCTTCCCCCAGGAACATATGAGGGTAGTAGTTTTGCCCACAGCCTTGTTCCAAGTTTTGTCAATTTTATTACTTTTAAATCACTCTGGTCAGTGAGAAATTAATCTGTCTAGTTTTAATTTGTATTTTTTCTCTCTCTTTAATGTGGTACTAGGGATCAAACTCAGGAGCATTTGGTATATATATATAKAGAGAGAGAGTTACCACCAAGCTACATTCTCAACTTGTTTTATTTTTTAATTTTATTTTTTAAAAATTTGTTTATCTTTATTTTGTTTGTTTATTTTTATGTGGTGCTGGGGATCGAACCCAGTGCCTCACATGTGTGAGGAAAGCACTCTACTGCTGAGCTACAGCCCCAGCCCCCAACTTGTTTTATTTTTAATTTTATTATTAAGAGTGAAGTTACACCTGTAATCCTAGCAGTTTGGGAGGCTGAGGTAGGAGTTCAAAACCAGCCTCAGCAACTTAAAAGCAAGGCCCTGAGCAACTTATCAAGACCATCTATAAATACAATATTAAAAAGGGTGGAGTATAGGTTTGGAATCCCAGCAGCATCTGGAGGCTGAGGCAGGTGAACCACAACAACAAGCGAACAAGTTTGCAGCCAGCATGGGCAATTTAGTGAGACCCTGCCTCAAAATCAAAAAATAAAAGGATTTAATAATAGAGCAGAGGATTCAATCCCCCATACGCCAGCACAAAATTAAATAAATAAATAAATGTGAAGTTACAACTGGGTGCACTGTACCCCTACCACTTGAATACTTGGGAGGCCAAGGCAGGGGGATCACAAGTTCAAAGCTTGGTCTGGACAATTTAGCAAAAATCCTGTTTCAAAATAAAAATTTTTAAAGGGCTGAGGATGTAGCTCAGTGGTAAGAGTCCTGCCTAGCATATGCAAGGGCCTGGGTTCAAGTCCCACTACTGCCTCACCCTACCCAAAACAGAGTAAAGCTGACCTTATTTCTCTATGCTTAAGGGCCACTTTTTTGCCATATACCTCTACAGTGGTGCTAGGGAAGGGGCCACTTTTTGTATTTTGTGTATGTGTGTGAATTGTCTGCTCCGTGGCTTTTGACTGTTTTATAGAATTTGTGTGTGTGTGTGTTTTTTCTCTCTGTGTTGTTGTTCATTTGTTTTGCTTTTGTGGTGCTAGATGTTGAACCCAGGCACATTGCTAAGTACATGCTCTACCACTGAACTACATCCCCAACCCTTTCCTCCGTGTTTAAAAACTCATTTAGCTCTGTGATAACAGTTGCAGGTATTTTTCTCACTATTTGCTATTTGGTTTTTGCACATGGTGTTTTTGGCTGTGCAAAAATTTGTTTTTATTTAGTTATATCAAAAGATTTGAAATCTTATATTTTGTGGCACCCAGAGCTTGAGTCATAGAAAGCTGTCCTCTATACCCAAATTATAAAGAAATTGACCCAGGAGCAATTTTGTAAAGCAAGTATGTGTTTATTCATTTATTTGCTTGTTTATTTCTTATGATGGCTGGGGAGAGATAATAATAGAAATGAATAAAAATAGCAGTTGGGGGCTGGGGATGTGGCTCAAGCAGTAACGCACTCGCCTGGCATGCGTGGGGTGCTGGGTTCGATCCTCAGCACCACATAAAAATAAAATAAAGATGTTGTGTCCACCGAAAACTAAAAAATAAATATTAAAATCTCTCTCTCTCTCTCTCTCTCTCTCTCTCTCTCTCTCTCTCTCTCTCTAAAAAAAAAAAAATAGCAGTTGGCTTACAACAAACTATAAGCCTAATAGAAGATGATAAAAAATCTAATCTGGCCTTCATAATTGTGGTAAATTCTCATGGTAATTATTTAGGCCAGTCTTTTTGTCCTTTGATTTAATGACATTAACAACAGAGTTACATTTAAGAGTGCATGCCCGTTGGTGGTGATTAAAGTTCTGGCATTCCTAAAGCACATCAAATTTAGAACCCTTTCCACAGAGCTTGCATAGGAAAAGTGGCACAACTGATTTTGTTTTGTGTATTCTGGATGCTGACATATATGTACATATCACATGAAACCACATTTCACACGTGTGGCTTATGCTAACTTCATAATTCCTATTTCCACAATTAAATAGGAAACAGAGGGGCTGGGGATGTGGCTCAAGCGGTAGCGCGCTCGCCTGGCATGCGTGCGGCCCGGGTTCGATCCTCAGCACCACATACAAACAAAGATGTTGTGTCCGCCGAAAACTAAAAAATAAATATTAAAAAATTCTTTCTCTCTCACTCTCTCTTTAAAAAAAAAAAAAATAAATAAATAGGAAACAGAGGTTTTCTAAAAGCTAGAGTTGCAGCAGCCTTAGCCATTGGAGGCAGGTAAAAACTGAGAAGCCAGTTGGAATTGGCTAAAAAATGGAAATGACCCAGCTTCCAAACTTTATTGTGAGAAGACTCTCTCAGACTCTCATCAAGATTCTGTTACTTTTACTACATGAAGATATTTTAGATTTGATTTTCTGAAATCATAGCCAACAGCAGCATATTTAAAAAAGAAAAAAGGGACTGACTGCTAGGAGAAGCAGACACATCTATCTTTCTAGCCAAATAATGAAAGACAGCCTTAAGGCACAGGAACAAAAGGGAAAACTAAAAAGGCAAATGGAAAAATTGAAAAGTGGGAATTCAGTCAGAGTACAGTATAACTAATCATAGTAAACACACATATCCCCGTGGCTTCAGGGAAACACTGTGATAACAGTCTAAATACTGGAGGTTTTCAGTGTAATAAGTGTATCATGTGCTTTTAGAAGTATTTTCATCAGATTTTAATACTTTATATGTAAAGAGGACTTGTTCTCCAATAGCAGTTGCAATAGCAAACATTTAGCCCTGTGGTTTATGTGTGGTATTTTATTTAATCCTCCCAGCAGCCCCCTGAGGCTGACATAAATTAACAGTAACCCTAGTACCAGGTATAGTAGTGAGTTTGAGGCCCCCAAAGGATCACTTGAGCCCAGAAGTTCCAGGCCAACCTGGACAATATAGCAAGATTTTGTCCTTTAAAAAAAAAAAATTAAAGAAAATAAATAGCAGTAACCCTGACTTAGCTGTTTTCCTAATCTGAAACCCCCAAATGAATACCTATTATCTCTTCTTAGATCTGAGTTCTACAAGCACATTGTGCTTTCTGGAGGATCTACTATGTATCCTGGCCTGCCATCAAGGTTGGAACGAGAACTTAAACAGCTTTACTTAGAAAGAGTTTTAAAAGGAGATGTGGAAAAACTTTCTGTAAGTAATAACAATGCAGTAGTTAATGTTATTTTAGAACCATGTAAAGAAGCTTGTGGATCTTTACAACCACCAGAGGGAGCAAGAAGTCTTCCTAAACAAATTCCTACTGCAATGAAGTGTAGCCTGGAAGTAAATGGTTCAAGGTAAATTCTATCCAAGAATGGTGTTGCTACCAGATCACCGCTTATTTAGTGCATTGAGGTGACCAGGTCCAGGCCAAATGTCCTAGTTCAACAACACACATCCTGGACTCCAGCATGCCACTAAGTGCAGAAGGAGAACCTGATATACTATGAAACAATAAATGTTCCATTTGGGGTATTGTTTTGTTCTGTTTTTAACTTTTTGAATATGTAGGTGGCCTTCAGCACTACTCTTAGCCTATCATAATTCTGACTTTAGGTTATTTTCTGGCTATTTGTTACATGTCTTATCTCTCCTATCATATGTTCGGTTCTTGTGCATCCTTATAATTATCATTAGCTCTTAGAACAGACTTTAACTGGTCATTGTTGATGTGTACAGTAGAAACTTTTACACTAGGGGTAATTGATGCTTCTTTGGCATATGCCCTCCCCTGTATCCAAAAACAAAAAGAAAAACAAACCAAAATGCTGTGGACTATATGAAGTATGCTATATATTTTATATACTCAACTAAGAGTCTTTTAATCTTGAGTTAATCTCTAAGCTTTGTTTCATTGTCTTTGGTCAGCTTTTTTAGATAATGAGATTATATATTATGGAGTACTGTATGTTTTGGAAACACTAATGTTACATCTTTCACAGATGACTCAAATTGAAATTAAATTGAGTATGGACTTACATATGTTAAACAAATTAAGACTGTAAAGGAGCCATGTTGTCTAAGTACTTTGCTCATTTTTCTGATTTTATTGAATTATACATATAATTTAAAATCCATCACATAGGATCATTTGTTTATTCAGCAAACATTTCTTGGACTCCATCTCGGTGCCAAACACTGTTCTAGGTGCTGGTACAAACAAAATAGTGGTAAACAAAATAAAGTCCCTGCTTTTAGTTTAAGTAATATATCAGTGCTATCATGAAAAATAAGGTTAAAAGCAAAACAATGTTAGTGGTTGGAGAGGTGGTATGTTTCTTTATAAGTGTGATCAGGAAAGACCTCTCTGATAAGGTCTCTCACTTTTAATGAGAGACCTGTATCGATCAAGGGAAAAGTCTTCCAGGGAGGAACTTTAAAAAAAAAAAAAAAAAAGTCTTGAGAGGGTTTTGAGTAGAGAAATGATAAGATTTGATTTATGTATTAAAAGGATAAGTTGGCTATAGTAAATAGACTCGTAGAGGGGAAGGAAACAAAGGTAGATGGAAAAGCATAGTCTGGAGAAGTGAGATGGAAATGTTAGAGGTTTAAAATGGAGGAGGTTGAATTGGTTTCTTGAAGAATGGAACAGAGAGTGGAGAAATGCAATAGGATTGCCATTTAGCACTCAGGCCCTTTTTAGGTTAGTGACACGTTTACATTTAAAGCAAGTGGTTGGTTTTCTTTCCTATCCAACTCAGCTGCTTGAGGGTAGGTGCAAAGTTGAAAGGTGATAACCCAAGTCAGTATTTGCTAAGTGAGTATAAGAGGAAGAGAAGAAGAAAGTTACCAAGAATCTCAGGAAATGGAGAGAATATGTGCATTCATGAACCAAGAATAGGTATGAGAGGAAATAACCTGGAGATGTGTAGATGTCTGCAAGAATCTATAGATAACAGGACTTTGACAAGGAAAATTGATGGATGGAGTAGTTGGATAGAATGAGTTTCAGAGCAGCTGTGGAGTTCAGGGAGGAGGGAGATAAAAGAAGCAATGAAGAACAAGAACTCCTGTTACCAAACTAGGGTTAGGAAGGTAGTATGAGCAGAAGAACAGCAGCCAGTTGCGAAAGCTGCAGGCGAAGCAGTGTGTCTTCAGCGGCTATTTAGTTTCCCTTGGAGCAGAAGTGGGTACATTACAGCCCTTGTTAATTTTATTGGAACATAGCTAGGCCCATTTGTTTACAATAGTGTTAGCTATTGTTATATACTGTGTGTGGCTGTCTTCTGGCTACATATGGGTGTAGCTGCCATAAACCTGAAAATCCCCAAGTATTTACTGTCTTAGCCCTTTACAAAAGAACATTTGCCAACTCCTATTTAATAGCAAAAAGTAACAGGTTGGTCTCAGAATTGACTAATGAGTAAATTGTTTCATAGATTATCAGATTCCTACATTCTATTTATTGACATAAAGCCATAATGCAGGAGGACATAGTTACTTTTAAGTCTTTTTTGCAGAATTTGTGACATAAAATAACTATGTCATTTGAAGGTTTCTCTTTCAGATATTGACTATACAGATTAGGATTTATCTTTTTTAGACAATTATAGTAGCTACAGAGTATAAAACTTTTCTCAATTGTCTTAGTTACTGTGTTCTTTTTCTCCAACATCCCCATGATTTGTTTTGACCATATTTGGCCTTGTTTATTTGAAGAACATTTCATTTGAATTTGAGACCTTAGAAAGTGAGCTTTCCTTACAAGAAAAGAACTTAAGGACTGTGGGTGTGGCTAAGTGGTAGAACCCTTATGTAGGGTGCACAAGACCCTGGGTTCAGTCCCTAGCAGTGGAAAAAAAATAAGAAGGAAGGAAAGCTGGTTCAGTGTTACTCTGGTGTCCTCAACATCATTGTCCATCATCTGGTATTTTGACTCTTGGTAAGGTGATTGGTTGTGTAACTTATCTGTCAAGTCAGTGTACTTCTTTTTTTGGTACCAGGGATTGAACTGGGGGGGGGGGCACTTGGCCACTGAGCCACATCCCCAGCCCTATTTTGTCTTTCATTTAGAGACAGAGTTTCACTGAGTTGCTTGCCTCAGCCTCCAGAGCTGCTGGGATTACAGGCATGCGCCACCTTGCCCTGCTCAAATCAGCATGCTTTGGAGAATGAAAGGAGGTGCTGTTAAAAATGAGACAACAGGAGTGAATTGAACTGTTCCAAGTACATTAGAGTGGAGCACAGGAGAAATTGCTAAATGTTTCTGGGCCTCGGATCCCAAATCCTGGTGTCCTACTTATATTATGGGTTGTTTTTAGATTCAGCAAGTGAATATGTGGAAAAAGTCATTTTCATGAAATAGAAAGCCCTATATTTACGTGACATTTTATTATCCTTTCTTCAGAAATTTAAGATTCGAATCGAAGACCCACCTCGCAGAAAGCACATGGTCTTCCTGGGTGGCGCAGTTCTAGCAGATATCATGAAAGACAAAGACAACTTTTGGATGACCCGACAGGAGTACCAAGAAAAGGGTGTCCGCGTGCTGGAAAAACTTGGTGTGACTGTTCGATAAACTGCAAGGCTTGTTCCAATCACACCCCTAATGCTTTCTTTCTTCCTTTATTGCCAATCTTTGAACTCATTCAACTCCGAAGAGGCCTCTCTGTGCCCTTTGACTGAAAAGGTCAAGTTTTATTCTGGTACCTTGGGGAAGGTTTGTTGTTTTTTTGTTTTTTTTTTTTTTAATGAGTTAATCTGGCTGTTTAATATAACCACTTCCCTGCAAACACAACCAGGGGGCAAAGGGTCCTGTCTGCTGCTTTGTTTCTTCTAAGTAGGCATTTAGATAAATCCTATAGGCTTCCTATTTTCACTTTACTGCTCTAATGTTGCTAGTTTTAGTCTTTAGCACAATAGGTGGTATGCCTTTATTAGCATAAGAAAAACTTTTACATATTACTGGGGTGGGGGGTAGTGAGGGATGGATGGGTGGGCAGCCCTGAACCCTTTAGGGCTTTTCTCTGTAGTGTTGCGCTTTCTACAGTTATGCTGCAGCTTTAAGTGCTTTAAATCTTCTCCTGTTAACATCCTAGGGAAATGGTAAACTCAGAACTAAAATGATTTTTTTGCCTGGTGGGGGGAGTAGGTAATCTTTTGATTGTGATTTTTTTGAGGTTTTCTGCTGGAGGTATATAAAATGAGCCTTATTTACAGTACTTTGATTTGACAGATTTTCTTCTTTTTGTCTGCCTGGAACTGTTTCCATATCATATTAAAAGCAAGTATATTATCCCATTACTATGTGGCTTAGGGATTTGTTTATTTTGTTTATTTCAAGTCACCCATGTTACCTGGGACTAGACTCCCAGAATCTATCAGTGGAAAAGTAACATTTAAAAATGCATTTTTTAACTCAAATTACAGATTAAAAAAAAATGCTTAAGAGCTGGTGTTTTCTAAATGCTTATTTATTCCAGAAGCTTTAAGATAACCCATTGCCAAGTACCATTCTTGCAAATTTTCTCCTATATAACTTACCAGTGCTTATTTCATAAAACAAGCAGATATATGTAAATAATTACTAGCAATAGGTTACAATTACTGGTTAAAAATAACATTGGCATATGGGACTTGTTGCCAGTTGTAATTTTCATTTGTTTTGTTTGTTTGATTTGAACCCTGGAAGTGAAATAAAATTTTGACTATTTAAAATGTTGGCAAAAAAAAAAAAAAATCAAGGTTTAAATGTGTATTTGTACTGAAAACTAATAACTGCCAATTCTCAGCCATCTTTTATGCTTGAAAGAAGAGTGGTTGGAATGTTGTGAATGTTAGCAGACTTTCCTGCATGTGTCAGAAAATCCTATATATGAATCCTGTCAGTATTGCTTGCTGTCTGAAAAAATATCAAATCCAGGCGTGAGTTCTTTCTAAATTTGAAAAATAATAAGAAATTGTATTAGGTTCTGTGGGGAAATGTTTTCCTTTAAAACATTCTTCACTAATAATGGATTTGAAATTTGAAAGAAATGGTCTTTTCTTTTTTCTTTTCTTTTCTTTTCTTTTCTTTTCTTTTCTTTTCTTTTCTTTTCTTTTCTTTTCTTTTCTTTTCTGTGCTGGGGATTGAACCAAGGACCTTGTGCATGTGAGGCAAGCACTCAACTGGCAAGCTATATCCCCCGCCCCAAGAAATGGCTTAATTTTTTGGTGGCTGAAATCAGAAAAATTGGCTCTCTTTTTTTATGAGAAAATTTAAAAGTTTGTGGAATAAGCAAAAAAAGGAGGTTAGTCTTAATTATGCAACTTCTGTTGTATTGTTCACTGATTTACCTCAGTTTGAACAAGTAAGTTTGTGTGCATGCTGGACATGCTTCAGTACCTATGAACAGCCCTTGAAGAATGTCTACTAGATTTTGGGATGTGGCTTTCAGAGTCGCTTTGAATTCTCAAGTATTCGTAAATATGTTTTTTTAGAAATTCTCCAACATTTTGAGTCCTAGGCTTGTTAAAGGACACATGTACTGTATGTAGGAACAGTAGAACCTACTGACCAGTTCAGATCGACTCTTGGCCTTTGGTCGTGATTTTAAAATACAGGAATAGAAAACAACAAAGAATAGGATGGACTCTTAAGTAACAAAAAGAGTATTTACGAAATTGTCCCTTGAATGTAGATTTTGTTTTTATTTCATGATTCTGCTACCAAACATGACAGTTAAAATGGTGTATTTATATATACGTGTGTGTGTATATATACACACACACACACACACACACACACAATAAAATTCCATTTTATAATTTTCCTATCTTATTGAAGTGATGCATTTAATAGTTTGGATGTTGGGAGGTATTATGTTTCATTGGAGTTGTCAGGTGTGAGTCCCTCAGAATTTTTTTTTTTAATTCTGTTTTAAAAGAAATATGATTTAGCTCTTGAAACTCATTGTCACTGAGACTTCTAATAGTAGTTAAATTCTTTTACTTTAAAATTAGAATTGCCAATGCCTTGAGGAAAAGGTTTCCTAGAAAACATGGTATTGGATGGTAACTTTTACACAGTTCTGAGCACTGTCTGGAAAGTATTTTGAAAAATGAATGGAAAAACTAAACATTCTAAATTTAACACAAATACACTTCTTTTTGATTCAGAAAATAAAATCAGATTTTTCACAGTAAATTCAACTTTTGTCTTTGTTTTTCCTTTTATAGTGTTTCTTTTATTTTGTTTTTATTTATACTTTTAATTTTTGCTAATCCAAGATGGGTTGAAAATTTTATGCTGGTTGTTAGACCAAGTTCAGTTCACCATGATGTGCTATTATTGACAAAACTCACTTCTAGTATGATTTTTAGATAAATATTTTTAAAAAATTAGAAATGAGGGCAAATTACATTTATACTAGAGATTTTTTTTCTTCGACACAGTATTTTCTTTCCCAAGGTGGCTTTCAAAGTATTATCAATGCTAGATAGACCTGTATGTAACATGCTTCTTACGGACATTTTCAGCAAATCTGCAGACTTTTAGGCATACTTCTAACAAAATAACTAAAGCAGAATGAAAATGTCTGACTGACCTGGACCCTTTTTTTAATACTAGCCTTGGGTGGGGCGATGAGAGCTGGGAAGCAGGCATGAAGTATTTTTGTTTTTCCTTCATGAACTTTTATACTTGTTGTTCTTTCACAGCCCGAGTCCCTCAGAACATCCTGAGGGTTACCTCTGGTGGCTTTTCTGAGTTGCCAGAAGAATCATGTAGTGGCAGGATCTCTATTGATAGAGAGAAGGGATGTAATCTCAATGCTTTTTTTTTTTTTTTTTCCTTCACCAAAAACTTTGACTACTGTGAATTTATTAACTCCTGCTGATTTTAGAACCATCAAAGAGGGTATCTAGCTGAAGTGAACCAGAAACCAGCATTGACATTAGCTCAGTATTACCATTTGGGGGCTTAATCACTGAGCGACAACCCTATTCCTTTTTCTTTTTCTTTTTTTTTGGATACTTCTTGCTAAGTTGCTTAGGGCTTCACTGAGTTGTTGTTGAGGCTGGCTTTGAACTTGAGATCCTTCTGCCTCAGCCTCCTGAGTCACTGGTATTACAAGCATGTGCCACTGTGCCCAGCTAGTTCTGGTATATTTTAAGGTCACTTTCCCCTCTGGCTCAAGTTCCTTGGCCTATTCAAAGATGGAAAATGCTACATCTGAGGTAAGTGGATTTGCTAAGGAAATGGACTTAGGAAAACACATTTGCATGTGGGAATACCCACCTATAAGGGCAAAATTAGTGCCTAACTACTGCATTATAAGGAACCTGAGTCATAGAATAGAAGTAAATGAGTTAGGGAAGACACAAACAAGGCAGCTATTATATAAATTTCAGTGAATTGGACATTAAACTTAACACCACACCCCCCAACTTTTTTTTGGTAGAACAGGGGATTGAACCCAGGGGCTACATCCCAAGTTCTTTTGATTTTTTTTATTTTGAAACAGGTCTTGCTACAATGCTGAGGGGCCTGCTAAATTGCTGAGGCTGGCCTCAAACTTGTGATCCTCGTGCTTCAGCCTCCCAAGTGCCTGGGATTACAAGTGTGTGCCACTGCACCTGGCCAAATTTAATGTTTTTTAAAACATCTTTGTTTCCATTGTTTTATAACTGAAATTAGAAAAAAGAAAACTATTGGACCATATTTACTTTTTTTTTTTTTTTTTTTGGTGCTGAGGGATTGAATTCGGGGGCACTCAACAACTGAGCTACATCCTCAGCCCTATTTTATATTGTATTTAGAGACAGGGTCTCACTGAGTTGCTTAGTGCCTTGCTGTTGCTGAGGCTGGCTTTAAACTCTGGATCCTCCTGCCTCAGCCTCCCAAGCTGCTGGGATTACAGGTGTGTGCCATCATGTCGGCCCATATTTACTTTTTTTTTTTTATATCTGTTTTGTGGGTTTTTTTTTTTTTGTTGTTGTTGTTGTTGTTGTTGTAGGTAGACACAATATCTTTGTTTTATTTATTTATTTTATGTGGTGCCGAGGATCAAACCCAGTGCCTCATGCATGCCAGGAAGTGCTCAACCACTAAACTACAACCCCAGCCCCCTATATTTATTTACTTTTGTTTAAATCCTCTATGCTATGACAGTGACAAAAAGTCTACTTACTATCTCAGTTTTCATTATCTGCAGATGTAAAGTATCTGACTGGGTAAGGGGAAATCCAAATGATTTCTCTCTTTTGGCAAAAGGGACTTTCTACATTATTAATATCTACCCCTTCAACTCCCACCCACCAAGGAAAGACTGGAAAAGACTGTATAATGAAAATGAAATTGGGCTGGGGGGCGGTGATATCTCAGTGGTAGAGCAAGTGCTTTGCATGTCCAAGTCCCTGAATTTATTCCCAGCACCTAAAATAAAATGCAATCATATCACCTTTTCCTCTTTAATACGTTAACTATCCTATAGGAAATGCTATAGCTGGAGTATAATTATCTAAACTTTAAAAGTAAGGACTGGGGGTGTAGTTTGGTGCCTGCCTTGCATGTACAAGGCCCTGGGGTTGAGCCCCTGCATTGCAAAAATATAAAGGTTCTGAAATCCACTCTGGACCTACAGAATCTGGGGCGATGGTTTGCTTCTTTTCTAGCTTTCATGCTCGTGCTGTAGGGTGCTAAGATGATAATCAAACTCCAAAGGATGAACCACCCACCCACTCCTGCAGGCCCTTCTTGCTTTCTCTTTGTTGTAAAAACTCAGAAAAGGAAAGAAGCCTTGGAAAGCTGGAACCACTTAGAGACTAACTCCCAGAGCTGGTCTCCAGTGTGCTGACCTCCACCCCCACCTCTCACAAATGAATGCTCAAGTAGGTGATAAACATCCTTCACTCAAAAGACAAATGCAAAGGTTAAAGCATCCTCTGTCACTCATTTGTGTGGATTGAAAGGAAGTCCAGAGACTCTCACACCCAAGGAAGTTTAGCAGCTCTTTGTGATTTAAGTGAAGGGAAGGTCTGTAACTGTCCTGAAGGGCTCCTGAGTCAATATTGAGTTTTTAGAATAAGACTTGAATCCTGAGCAGATGGGAGTTGAGTGGTACAAGTGGTGACATAGCAGAGTTGCTTTCTCCTCACAGCTCCTTCATGAATGGAAGTGATTTGCAGTCTGGCCAAGAAAGCTACCTGCCCGACAACTCTACTTCTGGGGAGGATGTATTTCAAGGTGCATGCAACTAATGAGCAAATTTTTGGATGCATCTCTACATAATTCCTTTGTCTTTTGACTGGATTTTTAGAATATTAACCCAATTGGATTCCAAAAGTTGGAAGTTTGTGGAATTATTTTAGTTGATACTAGTGCAAGAGAAGGGAAGTTTAGCCCTCCCTGCATTTGCTTTCTTGAGCCAGGGATAATTTCAGCCAGAGATTTGAAAAAGGGTGTGTGCTGAGTGTGTACAACTGTATATTAAGTTAATGTCCCATATATTTATTTTTTAAAAATATTTTATAGTTGTTGATGGAACTTTATTTTATTTATTTGTATGTGGTGCATGTTAGGCAAGCACACTACCACTGAGCCCCAGCCCCAACCATATATTTAAATATACAGTCTCCCTTGGTACCTGCAGGGGATTGGTTGGTTTTAGGAGCCCCACACCCTGCCAACAGATACCCAAATCTGAGGATGCTCAAGTGTCATATGACATGACATAGTACTTGCTCATTCCCAAATGACTTATAATACCTAATGCAGTGTCAATCTGTGTGGGTTTAATCCCCAGATACGGAACCCACAGATAGGGAGGGCAAACTGTATAGTAAGTATAAAATGACCATATAAGGTAAATATATTTTTATATATGTTATATACAAACATTAAGTACTAGCTGCAGATAAGTGCATAAACAGATAACTAGTGTTCAGGGCAGGAACCCTACGGAGCATTTTAAGGATCCTTTAAGGT